TGCCACCCCCCCTCCCCCCCGCCCCCCCCCCCCCCCACTTGGCAGAGGCAGTGGGGATCGGAGAGGACACAGAGCCGAGAGAAGCTGTCAGGAGGCTATCCTGGGTGGCGCAGGGAGGAAACAGCTGACATGAGACCTGGACCCAACAGATGTGCAAATTCCTCACATAGGGAAGAAAAAGCTGCTGCGCACAATTACACACAGCACCTGCCACGTCCGGGAGAGAGTCTTTTTATGGGCATGCACACCCCTTCTCAATGAGCCCTAAGACATGTTCAACGAGGATACTGGTTACTAGGGATGCACCGATACCGGTATTTCGGTATCGAGTACCGATATTTTTCTTTCGGTACTCGCCGATACCGAGTACCAAAGCCAGGCCATGTGTAATGATTTGCCACCTGCCTTCCTGATTAGTAGGGAAGTTGTCCCCATGCTTCTTGTCACTAGGTAACGAGAAAGCATGGAGACTGCTTTCTGGCTAGGGATCGGAGCATTTGGGCGAATAAGAGTACTCGCCCAAATAAAATACTCAGCACCGATAATAGTATCGGTATAAGTGCATCCCTACTGGTTACACTGCCTGTTCTACAGAGAGCCATTAGAGAATCCATACATCTGAATATTAAAGAAGAACTTCAGGAATTAACAAAGGGACTACCCCAGCACTGCAAGGGTTAACTGCTTGTTTTGGTCTAGGGCAGGGGTGGCAAACTCAAATTCATCGGGGGCCGCATCAGCAGTATGGTTACCCTCAAAGGGCCGGTTGTATAGGACTATGCATCTACTCTTTATTATCATAAATAGTTGCCTCTGCATTCAGTTGCTACTGGTGATAGCGGCCACACCCCCAGTAACCACACCCATTTATCACCCATATTTTTGCTAAAATATAAGAGTCGAGGTCACGTCGGGTAACATGACACCAAACATGTCATGCTTTAAAATTGTCGTTTTCACACGTATGCGCACCTGACGCCTGTTTGCATGCGTGTATGTATGGGGGGGACTTTAAACAAAAAATGTAATTCTTTTTTATTTGTAACTTTACATTTTTGGGGGGGGAAACTTTATTGCTATCACATAGGGGGGGTTAGAAAACCCCCTTATGTGATAGCAAAATATGTGACAGGTCCTCTTTTTATGGAGACATCAGGGGTCTCCATGACCCCTAATGTCACCTAGGACCCCCTGAAGAAGCTGATGAAGCACAGATCTGCTTCATCAGCTTCACTCCAGCATCTGAAGCTGGAGAGTGGCACAAGAATGCGGAAGTGATGTAATATACACCACTTCCGCATTCTGACAGCGGAGAGGGGACCGGAGGGAGCTCGTGTACCGATCTCCCTCTGATCCCCTGTGACAGAGGCCATATGCTGGTCCCGGGCTCGCACTGGGCACAGCAGAGCCCGGGACCAGCTTGACAGCGGGAGGGGGGGAGCCGGGGAGGGCGCAATTCACGGGACCTCATACAAGCGATCCGCCGGCTCTATAGCCGGCGGATCGCTTGTATGTTAACAGGCATCGCTGCCTGTTTTCAAATAACGGGCATTTCCCGCTCACGAGCGCCCAGCGGTGCGCGCGAGGGGGCGTGGCTGAGCGGACGTCTAAAGACGCCCGCTCAGATCTAGAGAGCTCCTGGCCGGCAGTTTTTTTACAACGGCCAGCCGGGAAGTGGTTAAAATCATTTTTTTTATTTTTTTATTTTTTACTGTTGGGGGGCTTTGGGAAATATTAGGGGTCCAAACAGACCCCTGACATTTCCCTTTTAAAATAGAAAAGAAATTGAGGACACCAAATCCTCAATTTTCTTTTTTAGCACCTCAGCACTCAATGAATGGGAAGCACTCAGTACAGAGGCTCCTCCCATTCATACTTACTATCAATAGTTTCTGAATGGGGAGGAGCCTCTGTACTGAGTGCTTCTCCCCATTGGTGAAATCTTGAATGAACAGGCTGCGATGTAAATCACAGCCTGTTCATTCATAACTGGGGACACATAGCACTATGTGTCCCCAGTTATTTACAAACACTGGAGTGATCAGACGATCGCTCCGGTGTTTGTCCTTCTCACACGGAGGACCGGTAAATATCACTGATATTTACCGATCCCCCGCTCAGCCACGCACAGAGCCGCTGTCATCCTGAAACTGACAGGATGACAGCGGCTCCGATCTCCTACCTGCTCGGCCATCCTGACAGCTGCGGGCGCGGCTTCTCTCCCCCTCACCGCTCTGCCATCCTGACAGCAGGCAGCGCTGTGCGGGCCACATTACAAGGTCCGGCGGGCCGGATTCGGCCCGCGGGCCTTGTGTTTGCCACCCCTGGTCTAGGGGTTGAATAAAAGAAGATATATATTCAGCTGATCCCAACTGGCTGCTATACTGATCCCTGCAGCCTCTTCTTCCCCCTGGATTCTGAGGATCTGTGGCATCATCACGTCTAATGCAGGCCCATGGACCTGAGGACACCCAGGGACTTACCACAGACGGAGTGGAGGGGGAGAAGTGTGCAATCACTGCCGCAAAACTGATAATATATCTTCTTTTTTCTGGCCCTTAGAAAAAATGAGCAGTTAAAGGAGAACTATGGGCTTCTATCTTTTTTTTATTAATGCATTCCTTAGGCTAAATAAGTAAATAATGTAATTTACTCTAATTAGTAGAGCTGCAGATAACGATTATTTTCAAAATCGATTAGTTAGCCGATTATTAAGTTCGATTAATCGGATAAAAAATGAAATAAATTGTAAAAAAAGCAATGCACGGGTAACCTCACTGCAAGGGTTCATTTTATATCCTAAAGATCTTCTATAAATAACCTCATGAAGATAGTGGACAGCAATTGTGAAAAGAAAATACCAAAGTCACGTTTTAAAAATGCAATTTTATGATCACCTAAAAATGCTCTGCAGTTAAACTTTATTAGCGAGCTGATCACTACATGGAAATGTTATTCTACAGCGTTCTAGTTGTGTATTCCGTTGTTCTGCAGACACAGCTAAACACACATGTATTCTACATCACGCTTGTGTACACACAGTCAGTTTAATTGTACATGTTGGTATAGCAGTAAAAGGAAGCATGAGCTCTCTGAGGTGTTCATTAGTCTGTAGAAAACAAACATGCCTAATGCGTCTTGTAGGGTAGAACGTCCCATATTGTGGCCTGTGCTACAATAGCTGTTATCAGACTAAACAGGGATGCGGGAAGACATTATGCTAATGTTTACTTTCATGTTTAGCAGCACAAAATGGCTCGCAGCAACACAGTTTGAGCCTCTCGCAGCAAGAAAAGCGTTTCCATGCTTTGATGAACCCGCATTTAAATCCACATTCCAAGTGAGGATCAAAAGAACCGAAGCGCATATTGCTCTATCAAACATGCCCAAGGTAATCTTGGTTTCTCTCTTGTCTTGCTGGCAGGCCCGCTCAGGCTTTTAATGTTGTTAACACTCTGGTGATTTGATGATTTGATATTTGGAGGGGGCAGATGCAACACAAAAAACGTGATTATCACACAACGTCCTGTATAACTTAGACACGTGTATACCTGACTTTACTGTATATTGTAAAAAAAATTAAATTCAACAAATCAGGCTGAACGAAAAAAATAGAACAGTTTCCTCCAACGCTTTACAGGCCTAGAATTTTCCAACCTGCGCCTTTGATGAGCTGATCAAGGGATGACAGGTGGAAGTGTGCCGACAGTAGCACCCACTGCAAATTTTGTCCGGTTCATCAGGAACTGGTTGAAGTTCATAATGTGTATACCCAAGTTAACATTTTCCTTCTACTTAATCTTTTCCTTAATGTACATTTTCATTAGATATTATGGTAACATATGATGTACGAAGTAGGCGCCAGACAGCACCACCCCGCAGGTCGGCAGTACGACCGGGCGGGAGTTAAGGCTGCCCGCCGACATTTAATGTTGGACTTGAAATGTTTAGCTGCACTTTGATGTACAACGACTAGATGTTAAAGTTATTTTGTTTGGAAAAAAATAAAAAATGTTGATTATGAAAAAAAAACATTCGGCTGACTAAATAGTAGGGATGCACGGATACCGGTAATAGTATCGGTATTGGTGCTGATACCGAGTATTTGGGCGAGTACTCGTACTTGCGGCAAATATATGAATATTTACTTTTTGCAGCCAGTAGGTGGAGCTCTAAGCACCTTTTTACAAGTTTGCCTGGCAAATCTTCTCTGCTCTGCTAAGTCTGTCATTTTTTGGAGGTGGTACACAGATAAACGAGCCAGATAAGTGACTCCTCCTCTCTCCCTCCCTCCCTACTTTGGATGGCTTTACACAGAGGTATGTGGATCTGTTAGGGGTAGACACAAAGGGAAAAACTGCTCCACAAAAACAGTGTCATGGGTAATACGTGTTTATTTGTAAAAATGGATTTGATCATTTACAAAAATTTGAAAAGAGATAACCTAAAAACTGTTAAGGTTTCCCTTTGCAGACTAATACTGCTGTTCCTCTTTGAACTTGCGTTACTGTTTTGCCAAAATAGTGGTACGGGTACAATTGCTAAGCATTGTTCTAACCTAGACCTGTCAGACAAGGTAACCGTTTGTTTCTTTGCAGGCAAGCACAACAACACTTCCAAATGGACTGTTTCTTGATGAATTTACTACCAGTGTGAAAATGAGCACCTACCTTGTTGCTTTCATCGTGTCTGACATGAAGAATTCATCTATCAATGCAAATGGAACCCTTGTAAGTAAACATGATGTTACACCGACCAGCTAAAATACAACTCCAGCTAAAGTGGTTTTTTTTTTTTTTCTAGCTTTGGTAGTGTGGATTAGGGTTAGGCTCTGTCTGTTTCCAATGGCAGCAGTCATAAAGACAGGAGATGTCTTTATGGGGGACAGACAGAGATGTGTTAAAACGTTAACAATGATCATTGGCACCAGAAGTGGCCCAGTGCAGACAGAGGCCCCAAATTATAAAAAGTGACAATAGTTCCAGCAGTATTTTTCTAGTCTGATCTGGAACGGACTGCGCTGGTGAGAGCACAGGCCAGAGATAGCATAGGGATACATCGGAATGCATTACGGCCTGGTCTGGAGGTAATCTGGATGTGTTGTGAATGGGCCCTTCACCCCCAATCGTGCCACACATGTTACATATTGGCGCAATCATCGGAATGAGAGAATCCTTTTAGCCCCATCGCTCATCATTTACTCACCATTGATAAGCAGCAAAGGCTTTTAAATCGTCACCTATGGGCAATTTTGGGTACAGTGCCATTCCACAGATGCGTGCAATTTTAAGGTTTGACATGTTTGGTATCTGTTTACCTCACTCAAAAAATAGTTATTATATTGTGTTTTTATACACTAAAATTCCTTTTTAGTGTATGGTTTCCTAACAAATATTGATTTGTCAGCATAATCCTGCTCAGATATAGTTGGCACACAATGTTCTATTATTGTTTATATTACAATACAATTTTTATAATTTATATTACTATTTATTTTTTTTAACATGCGTTATGCTATGTGAATAGGAACATGTAACAAATATAAGGTAGGTATTCGCCCAATTTGGCTGCAAAAGTGGAAAAACAATTAAAGGAGAACTATGGGGTTAAGGCTTTTCCCCATAGTTCTCCTTAGGGTAACGGGAGGACACTGTGTTCGCTCACTTCCCGATCTACTTAGCCGACCTGTGACAGTCTCATTGTCACAGGTCGGCTAGAACTATGGGGTGAGTGAAAAGCACTCACCTCATAGTTCTCCTTTTAAGCTCTACCAAGCTGAAATGTTCATTGTCTTCTTGTCTGTTTCTAAACAGGTATCTGTCTATACCGTACCACATAAGGTCGACCAGGCACAGTATGCTCTGAGTGCAGGCACATCACTGCTGGAATTTTATACACAATATTTTGGAATTAACTATACACTCTCAAAATTAGGTTTGTATCGTTTTCCTGCAAATCTGTTCCGTAAACCTGTGTGGATGTTTTACTGTTCTAGAAATCTGGTATTTACACATGCAACTTTAGCCCTCGTTCACACCTGAACGTTTTGTAGCGCGTTCTACGCTCGACGAACGCTCTACAAAACGCTCAAAAATATAAATCCCATTGTATTCAATGGTCTCGTTCCCACCTTGGCGTATTTCCGCCCGTCCCTAACGCTCTACAAAACGGCCCACGACTGAAAAGGTACATGTACTACTTTGGGCCGTTTTGTTGCGCGTTTCCATTGGGATACAGCCAAGTAGCCTTCGGAAACGCGCAACTTTTTTACCGCGAATCGCGGTAAAACGCGCGACAGACGCTCATATGCAATATGCCTAGGTGTGAACGAGCCGCACAAGTGTATGCTATGGTTTTCTATGTCAACCTTAGAATTGTTTTTAAAGGTTGTATTTTAAAAAATGTGTTGCTAGTCTAATGTGAACAATTACAGCCTTTTGTGCAATCTGCACTTATTGTTTCTAATCTTGTTACATTATTATAATGGAAAAAATGTAAGACCAGAATGGATATAACAAACCAAGCAGTTTCTGCAAAACTTTTATGTAGCCCAGCATTCGCCTCCCACAGTACACAGACCCAAGAGTCTTTCTAATAAAATCCAATATGCAACAAGAAGATGCCAGCACACCCTCTGATCCTTGGAAATGTCCTTTATCAAAATTTACATGTAACACATAAACGAGCATTGGCTACAGTTAGGTCTGGAAATAATTGGACAATGACATAATTTTCATAATTCTGGCTCTGTACACCACCACAATGGATTTGAAATAAAACAACTTGGATGCTATTGAAGTATAGACTTTCATCTTTAATTCAAGGGGTTGAACAAAAATATTGTATGAAACGTTTAGGAATTGCAACCATTTTCATACACAGTCCCCTTATTTCAGGGGCTCGACTGTAATTGGACAAATTAACACATTCGTAAATAAAATGTTCATTTTTAATACTTTAAGAATCCTTTGCAGGAGGCAATGACTGCTTTCTGGAATGCATGGACATCACCAATTGCTGGGCTTCCTACTTTGTGATGCTTTGCCAGGCCTTTACTGCAGCTGTCTTCAGTTGTTGTTTGTTCGTGGGTCTTTCTGCCTCAGGTTTTGTCTTCAGCAAGTAAAAGGCATGTTCGATCGGGTTGAGATCAGTTGATTGACTCGGCCATTGCAGAATATTTCACTTGTTTGCCTTAAAAAAAACTCCTGGGATGCTTTCACAGTTTGTTTTGGGCCATTGGCCATCTGTAAAGCGAAGCACCGTCCAATTAACGTTGCTGAATTTGGCTGAATCTGAGCAGACAATATATCCCTATACACTTCAGAAGTCATCCAACTGCCTCTGTTCTGTCTTCTGTCACATCATCAATAAACACTAGTGACCCAGTGTTGTTGGAAGACATGCATGCCCATGCCATCATACCACCTTTTACAGGTGATGTGGGAGATCCCATCATGAGATCATGAGCCGTTGCAAGCCTTGTCTATACTTCTTTTTTTTTTTCGTTTCTTTTTCTCCCCATCATTCTGCTACAGGTTGATCTTGGTTTCATTTGTCCAAAGAATGCTGTTCCATGATTGGGCTGGCTTTTTTAGATATTATTTTGGCAAGTGTAATCTGCCTTTTCTATTCTTGGGGATTATGAATGGTTTCCACCTTGTAGTGAACCCTCTTTATGGTAGACTCGGATAATGATATGCCTACCTCCTGGAGAGTGTTCTTCACTTGGCTGGAGGTTGTGAAGGGGTTTTTCTTTACCATGGAAATTATCCTGCGATCAACCATCACTGTTGTTTTCGGTGGACGTCCAGGCCTTTTTGTGTTGAAGAGCTCACCAGTGCATTATTTTGTTTATTTGGCCACCCCTAATGTTCCTGATATCTCTCTGATTGATTGATTGATTTCTTGTGGGTTTTGGAAAAAAAAAATTCTTTTTGCAGCCTGCGGGCTTGTTTACACCATGTCTGGATCATGTCCAGACCAAAACAGTTTGTTCCCGGACCAAAAAAGCAACCCAATCTATGGTATTTCTGGGCTCTGTTCATACAAGTGTAGTCCATTCTGGACCAGACAAAAAAATAATACTGCTCGTCTCATTTTCTCTGGTCTGGAATGCACTGGAAATCCATCAAAAACACATGCAAATGCACTGGAACCAACTGGACCGCACCTGAAAGCCCATTGTAAACTAAAAAAAAAAAAAGCAAAAATAAAAAAACGGCTCCAGAACGTGGCAAAATCATGGCAAAATGCAATGCACCATGTTCCAGATCTGGTCCGGAAAATGGTTTGAACCTGGCCTAAGGCCTGTTTTCACAGAGCTCCTCTGAACTCATGTTGTGGGTTCACAGCAACAGCTTACAAATATGAATCCCCCACCTGGAATCAACTTCAGACCTTTTACCTGCTTAATTGATGATGACAAAGGAATATCCCGCAACTGTCCATAAAACAGCTTTTGAGTCAATTGTCCAATTACTTTTGGTCCCTTGAAACAGAGGAGGCTACTTATTAAAGAGCTGTAATTCCTAAACCTTTCCTTCCAATATGGATGTGTATACTCTCAAGTTAAAGCGGAAAGACTGCACTTTAAGCCCAGATTCTTTAATTAACTGTAACAAAAATTATTTTTGTAAACGGCAAAAATAACAAAACTTGTGTACGTGTCCAATTTTATCCGGACCTAACTGTATGCGTTTCAGCCCAAAAGGGCCTCAATCATAGTCTAAGTCAGTTTTGGGCTGAAATATGTAAGAGATGCTTGTCTTTGTGTGTTACCTGGAAAGGATATTTCTAAGGATTGGAGCGCGTGGTGCCATCTTCCTATTTTATCACAATAGATATGAGACTGAAGTGGCAGGCACCCCGGTCTGAATGTCCTGGAGGGACAATGTCGTCTAATAAGCATTGTGACGCTTTTGCATCACATTACTGGTCACCATGCATGATACACTCTGACCGTACAATCATTCTACAATCAATTTTAGATTTATCAAAACTTTGATAAATGAAGACCTATTTAAAGGAGAACTATGGGGTTAGGGCTTTTCCCCATAGTTCTCCTAAGGCTCACAGGAGAACACAAACTAGCGTTCTCCCCTGACCTAAAGCTCAGTATAGCGCGAGCTACATTTTGCGGTATACGGAGACGCCGCAGCCGGGACGGATCCCGACAATACTGTCTGGATCCACTCGGCTGCGGGATTGACAGCTGGATCTGCCTATCTAGAGGCAGTGCCCGCCCCCTCCCCCGTCCGCTTTGTCAGTCAGCGCTGGAGGATCGGACAGGGGAGGGGGGAATCCCTGCAGGGAAACATGATTGACCGTCACTGCTCTCTGCTGGGATAGATTGAGAAGCGAGCGAGCGAGCGAGCGACGGTATGTGTTCGCTCACTTCCCGATCTACTGAGCCGACCTGTGACACTGTTTCATTACAATGAATTTGTATCCAGTCAGGCCCTTGCACTACATTGTAGTGTTGGTAGACAGCAGAGCTATCAATGGAGTGTATGCAGAAAGAAGAGTTGTGTGTTACTGAGCTGCCGACTGTCATATGAATCCTGTTTGATTTTCTCAAAGTGCTCATTAGGTAGACAAGGTAGAAAATAAAAAGGAAAGGCCAAACCGTAAATGCTGCCGGATTGGTGCTGTCCTAGATGGACTAGAAGGGTATGATGGTAAATATGGAGCTCTTTGTTTCTTCCGCAATAATGAACAGCTTTTCCTTGCACCAGGCATACCCCGGCTTCTCAGTGTGTTGGTGCCTTTATCCCTCTATCAACACATGAAATAAATTTAGAAAATAATTTGTATCTAATTAAGAAACGTCAGGGCTCCTTGGAACTCTCTGTAACCCTGCAAGCCAAATGAGTGTTTGTTTTAATCCTGTAATTCATTTGCATCATATTTGCATGACATTTAATTTTGTTCACATTAGGCAGTTGTCTTATTATCACATCTCTTGATTAGTTCCTTGTTACAATGATGCCACTGAGCCTTTTCCCACATCTCAGAACATTCAAAGCGTTCTTCACTTGATTGCACAGCGTTAAATGAAGTGTGTTTCACAATACAAAGCTGTAAGTGATTTTAAACTCTAGGAGATGTAGAGTTGATGAGAAGAGATAATCAGCCGATGTTTATCAGATTTTGCTGTCATCTTTTTGTTACGCGAAGGCAAAAAAAAGTAAGTGGGTTCTGTTTCATTCTGTGCCATTTCTGCATACACCACCTGTGACATATATGAAGGGTTCAAATGGTTTATTGGTTTAAAGAGACCCTGTCATCAACCTGGAAAAATGCAGGTAAAAGCACAGAAAAATGAAGCATTTAAAATACCTACTTGCAGTTATTCTCTTGTGATGTGCCTTTGAACTTGCTAAGAAATAAACACCACTCCAGGAAGAGGCAGTTCCCTAGCACAGCCACAGTTTCCCTTCCCTTCTGCCACATCATAGCCCTCTTGCACGACTGTCTAATTACTGTCTGCTGGCCTCCTGCAACCCCTTACCTCCTTACATAACCTTTTATGTAGCTGCTGGTGGAGTAGCGAAGGTAATACTATGCAATGTGACTTGAGCACCAACTCTGAGTCTGCTGACTTCGTATCCAAGACAGTGGCTCCCAGCAGCAGTCTCAGGCATTTTGTATGTTTACGCAAGGGATAAATAATTTGCATATGTAGCGCTACCCCCGCAAGGGCCGCTGTAATATACACATAAAATAAGTAAAATGCACATATGTAGAAGATTGTTGTTTTAAGTGAATGGTCTGATAACAGTGGTGTTGCAACTCCAGTGTTTGTGTGCAAAGGGCCCAAGATATATAGAAGCTAACAGAGGTTTTGCCCACCAGGCCCTCTATGTAACTGATGGATCACGTTCATTTGGATTCTTCATATAGTATACACTTTTGTCCTCAGTGACTGCGTTGTGTAGATGGACTGCAGATCCTATATGCACTCAGTTGTATAAACTAGATGTTCAAGTCTGTCCAAGGAGACAATTCAGTACAGGACTTAATCTACATGATGTGTTGCTGACTGAATATGCCTCAATTTCCCACATTCCTATGCACTGTTGTTTATAATATGATACCTGTCATTTCTTATTTGTAGATCTGGTAGCTATTCCTGATATCCAGGCTGGGGCAATGGAGAACTGGGGTCTCATCACCTTCCGGGAGACCACCCTGCTTTACAAAGAAAACTCCTCTTCACTGATGGATAAACAACTCATCACTTCGGTCATTGCTCATGAGTTGGCCCATCAGGTAAACCGTCTAATTACTTTTACACTACGCTGTGCAAAAAAACACTTCTATAATTAGAGTAGACCTAAATGTCCCAATATTCCCAATTCAGGCATTCATCCTGATGACTGGGCTGTTTAATACTACACTTGACGTGTGTCCCAATCTATAACCAATTGGGAACATTCATTTAATCTTGCATTTTTTCTGCCGTATAAAAAGTTAAGGTAGCTATAAATCGGGGATACCAATTTGAGCATCCACTCTAATAACTGGGCTGTTACAGTTCTCAATAGGGGGTGATCCACAAACCTCAGGATCTTGCCTGTCTGTGAGAGGATCTGATCCTTCACTGTTGCGTGGTAAAGATTGGATAGCCAATGTACTGTGCATGCACTGCTGTCATCGCTTAGTTATACTTTTTCTTTTCTGTTCTTCACTTTCTATAGATTGGCTATATTAGTAGGTGGGATTTGCATTTAAATCCTGGTTGCAGCTTACAGAAATAGATATGTAGTCAGATAGGCATTGTACTAACAGTCTTACCCCTACTCTGTTATGACAGTTGTGTATTGTGTCTAAACATTCTGTGCAGTCAAATACGCACCAGAGTTAGACCTAGTGCACTCCTGACAGAAGACTCCCCATAAGGAGCACATTGATTTCAGGAACCAACTAATAGACTTGTATTAGGAGAAGGAATAGCACAATGGTTTAGTTGAATTCTGGTCAGGACACTATCTGCAAAGAGTTTTTGTTCTCACTGCGCTTGCGTGGGTTTCCTCCCACACTCCAAAGACATGCTGGAAGGTTAACTGGCTCCTGTCTACATTCGCCCTGTATTTGTTTGCAATTGGGACTTTAGATTGTACACTCCTTGAGGGCAGGGAATGATATGAATGTGCTGTGTAAATTGTCAGCGCTAAATAAATATCTGAAATAAATAAGGAGCAGTACAGCAGGAAGTATACTGTAGCTAGTAAATGTAATAAACCAACTATGGCTCCCCCATCTACACATAAAAGTACCAGATATGCATCGGAACAAGTAAGAAAAAAAAAAACCCAAGAAAGAAAACCCCACACATTTTAAAAGGCATAGTTTCATTATGCCTATCTCTGTTACATATTAGTCTAAAAAAACTTGACATTCTCAATAAAGAATCCACTCATGTCTTACAGTGGTTTGGGAACCTCGTCACCATGGAATGGTGGAGTGATCTTTGGCTTAATGAAGGATTTGCAACTTTCATGGAATACTTTGCTCTGCAATCAAAATTCCCAGAACTGAATGCAGTAAGTAGAATGTGACCATAGTAAGTTACTGACTGTAGTTAAAGGCTAATTCCTCTGATCACTGATTGGATGGTGATTTTAGAGGTACAGGTTTATTACTATGTTCTAAAAAAATGTTTAAATATTCTGTGTACTTTAAATAGAAATACACCTGAAGCAAAATAGTTTGTCTGGGGTTTATTACTGAAATAATAGCATCCTTTTTTTTGTTCTTCCTCTTCAGTCACTCCCATTCTACACGCGGGTGTGTGTTTTACCAATGTTAAGGTGCCCATACACCTTACAATTATCTGCAGATTTTCTGTGGTCAGATGGAAAAAGTGCAACAGATTGGCCCAGGTGGAGATTACTCCATCCACATAGTTAGGTGTAGATGGGGGAAATCTGTTGCACCTTTTCCATCTGACCACAGAAAATCTGCAGGTAAGTGTAAGGTGTATGGCCAGCTTTAGTCTCTTGAAATCTTTTGAGTACATACAGGTGATTTTTCATTTTACTCATTCTTGTATGCAGTCAGTTATTGTGTTTTTAAATCACTTTGCAGAGATCTGTTTTTTTCACATGAAAGAATTTTGCTGTTGATCAGTGTAGAAAAAAAATTGAATAAAATTCACTGTGATTTAATATCTGATGGCCGTAAAAACACAAAACATTCCAAGGGGGTGAATACTTTTTTACTGGCACTGTATATGATGAGTCTGACTTTCATGTACATGATGAAATCTGTACTTTTGTATTGGTCCTTTTTCATCAGAATAAAACTGGTTAATTTAGAGATGTTTGAAAAGGTTCTCCTTCATCCAGGTCACGGTATATCTGTAAACAATATGTCAAGGCAATTGGACTTGCTGTATTTTTTCTTGAAGACGTTCTGCTGGTCATTCGACTAGCTTTTCCAATTTATGAATTGAGAAAGCTAGTAGGATGACCAGCGAAACTTCTAAGAAAAATACAGCAACTCCAGTTGCCTTGATTTATTTTTTACAGATGGCTAATTTTAATGAGACCTTATATATTTGCACCATATGAGAAATAACACAGAAATGTTTTGAGTGGCATCAGTTTTTAGTGAGCTTGGAAGAAAAGGTAGGCACTAGTCCTAGGAGATTATATAATGCTTTGAGGTTCAGTGTGAATGCTGCATCTCAGATTAGTCAACCTTTTACTATACAATTTAAATACACTTTTTATTTAGTTACACTATTTTCAAATTGGATGGGATACCAAAGTAATGGGTGGTATTAAAGGAGAACTATGAGGGGAGTGATTTTCACTCAACCTCATAGTTCGAGCCAACATGTGACATTTAAACTGTCACATGTCGGCTCAATAAATCGGGAAGTGAGCGAACACATACCGTCGCTCGCTCACTTCTTGATCGTGTCCCTGCAGAGAGCCATGACTGTCTCAGTCACGGCTCCCTGCAGGGATTCCCTCCTTCCCCCTGTCCGATCCTCCAGCGCTGACTGGCGGAACAGAAGGGGGACGGGGCGGGTACAGCTGGCTCTGCCTCTAGCTAAGCAGAGCCAGCTGTCACTCACGCAGCTGGGTGGATCTCTACAGTAATGTCGGGATCTGTCCTGGCTGCAGCGCTCTTAGTATACCGCAAGCTATAGCTCACGATATACTGAGCTTTGGGTCACGTGAGGATGCTAGTATATGTCCTCCCGTGACCCTTAGGAGAGCTATGGGGTAAGCACTTACCCCATAGTTCTGTAGCTCCTCCCTGTGTTCTATATTTTGCTTTTGGTTTAATTACTGCAAATAGCTAAATTTTAACCTGGATTATAATGCTGAAAAACAGGTTTTATTTGTCTTTTATGTCCCCATTAGGGAGATACGCCCTCTCAATTTGTGCTGTTATCAAAATTGAGTGTAGAAAATACCAAATTTTGAATTGTAATCGGAATAGAGGGGAAATTTTCCAACGGGGATGCTATTCCTGTTGACTATAAGTTTTTTTTTCCCCCTCGCTTTAGAGCAATTTCCTCTTATTTTCTGCAGTGACTCTGGGACAGGAAGTGAAAGGAAATCCCCCCAATGGGACACAGATGGCAAAAAAAACCTGCAAAAACAAACTGACGGGTTATAACCTTCCCTTACTCTACTCTATCCACAATGAAAAAAAAAATGTTTTGGCTTTAGTTCCACTTTAAAAAGGTCTTCTGTATATAGATGGCTTCAATAGGCAGCAGCACCCTTGGCACGTAGAACGTTAAAGTGCACCTATATCAGGACAGTGTATTTTACCCACATTAGTTCTCTTCTAGTGCACTCTGGAAACTGAAGCTCAGGATACTCTACTATGCAAATGCTAAATAATACTTGGAGGTTAGTGCTCTGGCCTACCTCCCGTACCTTCCTCCTCACAGTGGCTGCTAAATTTGGGTGGCCTAAACCACCATTGCATGTCCAGAGGGGTAGAGCCTAAGAGCCACTGGATGATTACATATTCTACATTGTGACCCATATAAATACTGTAAAGCCCGGGCAGCTCTTTTTAGTACTTGTTTCTCGGTACTTGGTTTGCTTTAAATATTTAATTGTCCCAACATTGGGTATCCTATATACTTTGTGTAAACAGTTGTACTGATCTCTAAACACCACAAGATGGTGCTGTTGTCATTGAATGATGCACAGAATTTTTCTTTTTCTTTTTTTTTGCTGCTTGATTTTTTATTTACTATCATGTGAAAAAGAAAGGTGCATCCTCTTTGAATTCTAAGGTTTTGAGCATCAGGACATAAAAAATAAAAAAAAATCTGGTCCTTAGCAGGTCTTAACATTTAGGTTAATGCAACCTCAGATTATTATTACATAGTATTTCTATAGCGCCGACAGTTTGCTTTACAATATAAGGAAGACATTACAATTACAATACAATTCAAGACACGATGCTAAGGAGGGCCCTGCCCCTGAGGGCTTACAATCTAAAAGATGAAGAACAACACATGACACAGGACCAGAGGATTTTTATTATGTCCTAATACTTAAAAGCATAGAATTTGAAGAAGGTGTACTTTCCGCTTCACACGACTGTAGTTTTGTTAGGAGCTATGTTTTCTTTGAAGCTATTTTGTTTGATTTTTTTCTCCCATAGGGTCTATTGACCTAACTGCAGAATAGGTGCTATTTGTGACATCATTTCACCAGGGCCTCAATCTCCTAGGTGTAGGTGGTTGCTGCCAGGCAATTTTAGGAGTATTTGTTATGTGGAAATCATATCGACCAATCATGATTCATTTATATTACAGGTTTTTTGCAAAACACCCATTTAATTAACAGAAGATTAACGTTTTGTATACCATTGCATGCACATCAATGCCCCTTTACCACTATGTTGCTACATCCAAGTACTGCTGTGGTGGTGTTGCTTCTCTTGCAACCTTTGTTACCTTCACAAATGTACCAAAATGGCAGAGCTGCAAATTCCAGTACCATTCCCATATGGTCCTGATCTTTTCTTTCCACAGGGAACAGCAAGTGCAAATACAGAAATGTCGCAAGCACCTCTCTTGCGGGCTGGTGAAGTTTTACAAGCAGAGAAGCTATTCGGAGAAGTTGGGAGAGCAATGGAAATGTATCAAATATCAGTTCCAGGGGAACTTAAAGCTATAATCTTTGGCAGAATGATCTTAGTTTGCAGCACGTATGCGACCCGAGCTGTACATCGCCCCAGTCACATCGCCCCAGTCACATCGCCAGTCCCTCTTCACTATCTTCCATTCACAAAATGTCTTGTTTTATTTTTGTAGAGAATGCAAGACATTCTGTGATTGGAGGAGGAGAAGAGGCAGGTATATGATATCATTTCTCCTCCAATCACAGAATGTCTTGTGTTTGTTAGAAGTTGCGTGTACAGCTCAAGTCTCATCTCTTCAGTGCCCAGAAGCTCGGCAACAGTGTGCTGCAAGCTTAGAATTTTATACTTTGCAGCCACCCCCTGCATATAACAGCCAGCTTTTTAATGTTAAATTATCATTCTGCCAAAGAGTGTGGCTTTAAGTTCCCCTGAAACTGATATTTGCTACGTTTCCATTACTCTCCCAGCATCTCCAAGTAGCTTCTCTGCCTGTAAAACTCACCACTTCGTGAGATGCTTGGGATAGTTCTGTCAGAGTTGCAACAGATCCATATACACTTTATTGCAGGCTGGACAAATTATTATGGAATTCAAAAGGCAGAAGGATCTTTATTTTTTTTTTAGGGCCCAGCTTCATTGACACCAAGTATAGAAAACCTCAAAAGTAAGCCGCCGACTGTAATTTTAGGGCGCATTGGCTACCAGGCTCCTGGGATTTGTCCAGCTCTCATTTACAGACACCTACAGTACATGACTCTGTTGCAAGTTGAACCATTTGTCACAGTAGTCCTCATTCGCTTAAGGCCTCATTCACACACAACGCAAAAGCAAAATTGTATATTGCGTATATACGCATATGTACATGTGCTTATATGCAATCCCAGAATGCATCATTCGTAATAGAAATTTTAATGAACTGTACGTGTGTATACGCGCGCAAACGCATATATGCACGTAAAATACGCTGCCCAGGCGCATCTCGGTTCCATTCTGTTTTTGCGCATTTTTACGCTACGCCAATATACTGCTCCATACACGGCAGTGTGAATGAGGCCTCAAGAGTATTTTCGACACTCTTTGACTCAATCCCCAGAATTTCTAAAAACACTGCCAGGCAACTAGCTTTTTCAGGCCAGTGGGGGTCTCCTGTATTTCTGCTGGTTCAGGCTTCCTTTATGGTGAGTTAGATCACAAGAGTTTGTATTCTTCAGGTGTTGGATCCGGTATTGTGATCTTTTAACTAGATTGAAAGTTCTTTACTGTATGACCAAAACATTGTTTCTCTCCCGTTCATTGAAGGACACAGGCAACAGATCGTAGATCCTGAATGGTAGGGTAATATCGCCACCTGCAGGAACCTCGGGGGGCGTGGTACGCGGACGATGTTCAGCTGGTGGTGGACGCCCCGTGGCGTCTGCCTCTGCTCCCCGATCTTCTGTCCCAGGGTGCTGTGTTCCATCCTTCTTTACATTTACATTCGTGTATAGGTAAGGATGAGGCCCTGTTCAGGTATTATTGCAATTGGAGTCCCCAGTGGACACTTTACCCTCTTTATCTGTCTGGTGAACATTGTCCCCAGTACTGCAAGACAATGATAAATCAAACATTTTAGAGTGGTCACCAGAACGAGTAGTAAGGGGAAATCTTGCAATGGGACACGTGTTCTGATGACAACTGTCTTAGAGTGGAACTTTCATCTCATTGTAGAGATTTCCTCTCACTTCCTGCTACATTTGTGGGACAGAATTTCAAGTGAAATCTCCAAAACCTTCACAGACCAACAAAGTTTTATCCCTTCCCTACTAAGACCAACAAAGTTGTATCCCTTCCCTACTAAGACCAACAAAGTTTTATCCCTTCCCTACTAAAACTAAAAAAAACGGAAAGGCTTTGGCTTTGTGTACAGTGTAATGTAGTGAACCTCTTTGGTTAAATGTCATGCAACACGTTAGTCATGTGATGTTCTCATGCTTTTATGTGATAGCTCAGGCCTCCTAACTAAACACTTAAATGGCCGACTTGCAAAGTGGTTTTATACACCTGTCTTTGTAAATCTTTCAACAAGCCGCATGTGAGCCTGCTATAATTCAAGTCATAAGTATTAAGTGATGCTCTTAATGAAGCAAACACAGGTGCAAAATGCATCTAACAGCAGCATGTCAATACACAAATGAGATCGCGCAAACAAGAAATCTTTCTCAATTGCAGCTCATCTCCCAGAAGACTTTGACTATTGAAATTCGCAGACACATCTAAGATGCTGCTTTCAGTTAATTAGTATGAAAAATAACCGTAGACTACAGTTTTCACCACTTCAAAAGCCTTCTGGGCGATTAATAATTCATTCTCCTGGTATGCAAATATTTTACAGTCATTTCTACGCCATTCATATTTATTCCAGACACAGTGTCTTTACAGAGGGAGAGGAGAAGATGAAAGCTCTTTGGTGCCATCAAGGAGACACTATTCAGTAGTCAGCAAGATCTGAAAATATTGCTGCCACTTCAGATGGGACTTCTGTGGGCTTCCCGGGTTTTCTTGAATTTTAACCCCTTACCAGCATTAGAAAATGGCAAACTAGTTTCATTTCACTGCAGTTGGCTAAACGCATATCTGATTTGTAGCCCTATTTGTACACACTTTGTTTCATGCCTTTGATAAAGTAACCCTAAACTCCGGAATTACATCCTATAAATGCATTCAAGTACCTTAACTAATAACAAAATTGTATCTTATTTGTGTATCACTCAGCTGTAGATCCTCAAATCATCTCTGAATTTGTACTCTTACTCGCCCAAATGCTCTGATACCTTCCCCGATACCGGAACGTCCGGTCAGAGGAAGGTTTCCTCTGGCATGCAGTGCCATAGGGGAACATGGAGCCGCCTTTCTGGGCAATCGGGAAGCAGGGTGGAGAGCAATGGGCCACCTCCCAGTTTCCTGACTGGCCGGGAAGCCTGCACCTTGCTGATTGGCCACGGCTTTCCCAGCCAATCGCAATAGAGCTGATCAAACAACATGGAGCCGGCTTTCGGGCAATCGGGAAGCCGGGCAGCATGTCATTACTCTCTGCCCGGCTTCCTGGTTGCCCGAGAAACCGCCTCCATGCCAGTGAAAGCACTGGTATTGGTACTCGGTATCGGCGAGTACTGAGAGCAAAATATCGGTGTTTGTACCCGATACCAAAAAAACGGTATCACTGCATCCCTAATTGTAAGCTAAATACATGTAAAAAAGCACCATGTGTATGAGCCCAGATGGAAATACTAGCAGTGCACACCTTCGATCCCAAACATTCCCTGGGATTCTTTTAAGACTGTCGTAAGACGCACATTCGAAATTCTGTCTCCCAGCCGCTTACCGAAGAGTGAACCTTGCCACAGATTCATATAACTATCACTAAGGTTTACATGAATCTGTTGCAGAATTGTCCCAGACAGAATTTTGTCTGTAACATGTTACTTACACGTGCTACCCAATTTCACTCCATGAAAGAAGTGTTATTTACCTCTAGTTTACGTCTCACCGATATGGTGGCATTTCTTAATGCATATGTCACAGCCATGGCGGGAGAATGTATATATGTCTCACGGAAATACCTGAATTTGTGGCAAGCATCGGAAATAATAAGAAAACTGTTGCACAGCTTTCATGAACGTGGTGCAGGACTTTTTAATTTGGCTTAACCCCGGAAAAGTGTCACAAATGGTTTATTGAAAGCAAATGGTTGAATTTCCCCAATCATAATAGTTTTAAACACATTGGGCTAGGAGTTGACCGATTTATCTGTAGATAAGGGGCCGATATTCACAAATTTTTAAATGATCAATCTCAAATTTATCAATATTAGCGATACGTACCTACAGAATGCCGTGGGCTTAATATCCATTGACCCCCTACTAGTGATGGCAGTAATGGGGAGCTTTCAAACAAGCCCCATTCATCTGCCGGCAGCGGAATGTAAACAGGCAGTGGGCCTGATATTGGTCGACCCCTAATAGTGATGGCAGGTCAACCCCTAATAGTGATGGCAACAGTGATGTCTCTTTTTAGGTCTGCTTCTCTGCTAATTGACACCAGGCAGTGGATGGGAGCTATAGCCAGCCTGCTATTGGCTATTTCAATTTCAGTGCGGCAGAGGCAGTGTTGTCCGCTCACTATAGGAAGTTAGGAGCTCACTGGATTTTTGGCAGGTTTACCTAATATTTTTCTGCACTTAGTGTTTTTAAAAAGAAAAAAAATGGTGATATGTGTGAATTTTTTGCAAACGTACTGAATTTTTTTTTTTCTTTTGCCCAGACATAGAGTACACTTTAAATATCTTCCCTAATCAGTGAGATATGACAATTGCATACATTTTCTTTTACACTTCTTACATGATGGGTGTTTTCCTGTTTCTGATATGCAGTGACATCACTTTAGTACTATGCCAAGTCCAAATAATGAGTAATACTGCAATGCTTCGTGGGGCAAAGTGTAGGGCCTGTTGCTGCAGCCTCCTATTGCAGGGACATACAATCCATTCCAAATGGCCCATTGTTGTTACCTTGCTTCTGTTTTCTGTAAAATAATGTCATTTTTTCTTCTTCTGAAATTAGGACAATAAATTCTTAACTGCACGTTGTGTAGCCATGGATAAGGATTCTTTGGAAACATCTCATCCCATATCTACTGATGTACAGTCTTCAGAGCAAATTGAGGAAATATTTGATGACCTTTCTTACATTAAGGTATTCTTAATAATAATATTTTTTTTATTCTCATGAGCATATCAGATGTCCTGCAGATGGCAGCAGTGTACAAGCATAATAGAAATCACCTGGTGCCAATCCTATTTCTTTCTAGCCTCATGTATTGCAGGAAGCTGATATACAGGGACCCTTTGATGCAAATATGGCAGGGTGCATTGTGCTGACCAATTGCTTTAAAGCAATCCTATATCTAGCCAGACCTACACTGACTACAAATATTATGAACGTTTGTGTATTAAATACATCATATTCTGGGATTACTTTTCACAGGTGGACAAGGATGAAAAGTCCATGCTGATAAAAAGCATTACATAAAGGTGCTTGCTTGATCAGAACCTTTAAATCAGTGGTAGGCAAACCTTGGCCCACCAGCTATGGTGCAAATTCAAATCCCATTAGGAATTGCAGGATTCTGAAAGCCAAAGGCATGACTCCCAGAGGCGTAGGCATAATGGGATTTGTAGTTGCACCACAGCTGGAGAGCCAGAGTTTGCCTACCCCTGCTCTATATGTTCTTTCCCTATACAATGTGACATAAACATGCACACATAAACGTGTTCTTTCCCTATACAATGTGACATAAATATGAGTACTGCCATTACCCACAATCTGAGTGTGCTTGCACTAAGCACCAGCTAAATAGTGGGGAATCAATAATGGTCATTTGACCTCCCTTTCAGCTCAGAGAATCGGGTGAGTATAACTTATTTTTGACCCCAGGCAAAGCTGGGGCTAAATTCCCTTGCAAAGTGAGCAGCCAATTTGCCTTCATTAAATCAACCCCTATTTGTCAGTAGAGGTACACACCTCTTTCATGCTGCCACAGCCTTGCCTCTTTGGAAACAGCATTCTGAGCTCTGTTATTTGTATTTTTGTGGTCATATGAGAGTTTGCTGGTCCACACTTATTTTTAATTCTCTAGCTCTGTTTAAAAAGTTTGGGGTGTGCAGTAAGCAAAGGCACCCACAAATCCATCAACAGGAAACCAGAATGGGAAGATGTTTAAATCTCATTTTTGAATAGTTGCTGTAAATTTGTGAACACCATTGATAATAAATACAGCCACACGTGATAAAAGTGCTATTAAAATAATTCTTAGTTATTTTGTATTTGTATATCTCCCTTGTACTATAGGGTGCTTCTATTCTACTAATGCTTAAAGCATACCTCACTGAGGATAAGTTCCATGAGTGTATCGTGCAATATTTAAAAGAACATCAATATGGATCAACAAAGAGTGATGGTCTATGGGACAGTATGAACCTGGTAGGTATTTCTCTATGTCTATAGTGATGATTCTTTCCTTAGACATTCTGTCTTTCATTCTTAAAGTCCCAGAATTGTTTTATTTATTTTTAAATTTGCTTTTGTATTCTGTTAGCATGTTCTACATCTTTCAAGGAACTGATTGGGCTTTTTTGTTTGGTAGAAATGTACCCGAAAATATAATTTTATAAATAAGGCTTTGAGCTTTAATGATACCATTATTAAGTGCCATCTTCATATAACATACAGAAGTGAACAAGCTCAATGCCAGTGTTTTTTCCTTTGTGTTAGGAGAGCTTTTTCCATTTGGTTGTTGTATTGGTACATGCAGAAAATTAAACTTTTTGCATAAATCATTAGTTTAATATTAATGTGACATTAGGTTTTGGGGCTTTGTGCTGAAAAGAGTTAGTTTGCAATGACTAACATTCTGAATGACATAGCGCATACATGTTGATTAATTCAGATAGTGAACCTAGCACTGGATCCAGCTGTCACTGATGGTTTTTATTTCCATCACATACCAGAGCCACCATTGTAAGCTGTAAACTGCAGTTGTAGCACTGTTTTCAAAGTGTCACTAGAGAGTGAAGTGATTAAAAGAGCGTTAAAGCCAGACCCTTTATTTTTTTTTTTGGCTTTACTTCTCTTTTGGGTCATATGAGTACATTCGCTATTGCCTGCTATATGCTGACAGCACAGAGCTGTGCTATAGCTGGCATAATTGTCGGGATCCATCCGGTTGCCTGATTAACAGCTGACCCTGCCTCTTAGAGCCAGCTATGCCCATACCCTTTCCCGGTCTGTCCCTCCAATGAAGGGAGGGGAAGTCTCTATGGGGAGCGGCGAGTCGCTGCCCTCTGCAGGGAGGAAACAGCGGTTACATGATCGTTTAGCTCTTGTTCTATAGAGCCGAGGTGAGACTTCTCTCTGACTGGGCTGTAGTCCTGTGATTGTCTGTGGCCGCCATGAAGATGGATCAGCCACAGGGCAGAACTGTGACTATTTATACCGTAAAGGCTTTGCAGCTTTGAGTAAGGCTGCACAGTTAAGATCTCTGAAGCAGGTCTAAGGTATGTACCTATGCGAGTTACTTTATGATGGTAGGGGGGAAGCTTTAAAGGGCAACATACTGTTTGGGTGTTTCTAATGTTTTTGTATAATTAATTTACTCGGAATACATTATAGAGCACCAAAATGGCCCCTGAAAATTAAAATGGATGCTATAACCTTTGGACCTTTTCAGATATGCTATTAATGAAATCCACACACACATATGGGGCCATTGTGTGCAAGCTGCTGGGCCATTTTACATTTGCCACTGTTAACCTTTTGCTTCTTAATACTTCTATGCTGTCATTCTGATCCAGTGGCTTTATTGCTACAAAAGTGGAGTTTTTCTTTTAAATTCTGTATATTGGCTACATAATGTTCATCATAAAGTGCAAGGGTGACGAGGGTTTTTTGTTTTTACTCCTAAAAGCCTTTCCTTTTAAGCCTTGCTTGTTGCAGACTAACCCTAATTAACTCCTTAGTCTATCTTGTTTTTAGCTGGTTTTTGATGATTTTGGTAAAGAGACAGTAAACTCAGGAGTTAAAAACTTTGAAATGCATTAAAGTACCTTAAAAGAGAACTATGGGGCAAGTGTTTTTCTCCATAGTTCTCTTTATGGTCACGGGAGGACATATATACTAGCGTCCTTCCCTGACCCAAAGCGTGTTACTGTGATCGCCGCAGCTGGAACAGATTCCGACATTACTGTTGAGATCCACCCAGCTGCGTGAGTGACAGATGGCTCTGCCTATCTAGAGGCAGAGCCAGCTCTGCCCGCCCCCTTCCCCGGTTGTTCCTCAACTCAGCGCTGGAAGATCAGAGAGGGTAAGGGAGAATCACTGCAGGGAGACTATCGGGAAGTGAGCAGACTGGCTGCATGTTTCTGCTCACTTCCCCATCGATGGAGCCGACCTGTGACAGCTTCTTTGTCACAGGTCGGCTCTAACTATGAGGATGAGTGGAAATCACTTGCCTCCATAGATCTCCTTTAGCTATTAACATATACAGTAAACTCTCTGTTAACCGGTCCGGTATTCAACTAACCGGAACACTATTCGAACTGGCAAGAAAAAAAAACCCCAGTGTGCACTCGCTGTTCTGCCGATCTGCAACCTTCTAGGAGTGGGAGAGAGGGCTCTTCGGCATAGGAGGGTAGACGGGGGAGAGGATCGGGCCAGAAGAGTGTGATTGCCGCTGGTACTGTTCGATACAGTACTGTATTATCCTGTGGGAAGCCATGTCTGTGATCGAGAGCTGTACACATGCGCTCCCTAGTGATCACTCCCAGTATTGTATGCTCTACTATAGTATGCTATACCAGGGCTCAAAATTTCAAGTCCTGAGCTACTAGCCAGGCCTTAAAAGTTACTCGCCACCAGTTGCCCCACCTAACCCCTACCCTGCCCCGGACTTAACTCCGCCAGGTCAGTGGTGTGACATAGAGTACAGAGATCAGTAACAACGCGGAGTCCAGAGGCCAGTGGTGTGATGCACAGTACTAAGGTCAGCAGTACAGAGGTCAGTAATGTAACTCGGAGTGCAGAGGTCAGCAGTGTTAAGCTGGCCATACACCTTACAACCATCGCACGACTTTCGTTGTGCGATGGTTGTAAGTTAATTCAAATTTTGTACGATCTGCCCATCATGGACAGGCAGATCATACAGCGGGGAGGGCTTGCTGATGATTGCAATGCTGAGCGGGCAATGTGCGCTTGCGCACACCAGCCCTTGCTGCTTTCGTCTTCTGAGCATGCCACGAACCCGCCGAAAATCGTACGATTTTTGGCAGGTTTTCCAGCTAGCTTGGAAGACTAATGTCGTGTAACCGTACAGTAGATGCGGCCAAACGCTGCCCATACACCTGCCGATTATCGTAATTTGCGGGAATCACCCGTGATTATCGTACGATAATCGTCAGGTGCATAGGCACTTTTTCACAGAAAAAACAGGGACTTGCAGTGCACAGTTGATCTGATTCAGGTGCTCTCTTCCTCTCCTGGTGGGGATGTTGGGGGGAGGGTCATCAATGCTGCCTCTATGTAACAAGGTGAAGCCTCCAGCAGCGTCGTTGAGCCTCCTTTAAGGTCCCACACTGCAGAAATGTACAGCAGGTCAGCAGGATGACGCACAGCACAAAGTTCAGTAATGTAACGCACGGTACAGAAGTCGGCAATAGCGCACAGTGGAGAGGTCAGCGGTGTAAGGCAGAAATAACGTACTGTATTACAGCTCCTCTAGTACAGCACTAATATAAAGTGTGTGTCTTTATTTGCTTTTAATTACTTTATTTCAATATTAATATGAAGTCAATGTAGAGTTAATGTAATGGCTATGGTATAGTATGGGGTATAGCGTTAGTTAAGCCTATTTTTAATAGTAACAAGCAACCAGAAACCTACATTTATCTGGAATCTACCAATCCTTGTGTATGCTGTATAACGGGGAGTTTACTGTATGTTGCTTATTTGTGTATCATTCAGCTGTAGATCCTCAAATCATCTCTGAATTGGTGCTGACACTGTCCTTCCTTCTGGAGGGTGGCTACTTTTGTTCCCCATGGTTCCTGTGTGTGTATTGTAAAAAAAACCAGTAGAAAGGCATCATGGCACACTCACAAACCAGCATATAAAACAACTTGTCTCACCACTGAGGTTAATAACAGAGGTTTGGATACACGTCTTCTGCAGAAAATGTGAAAGCCGCACTGCCGCGCCAAGGCACCTCTTATAGTGCGGTCCTAACTCTAAACTATGAGAGTCTCCATCTTGGAGCACATGGGGGCAGAAGATTTCAAATTGGGTGCAGGTTTGTCAGGAGGAAGCCCAGCCTCCTTAAAAGCACAGAAACACACAAGGGATCCCGCACATCCCAATGGCAGCTGGGAACCCCCATGCGTCGCTGCACCAAATCGGTCAAGCAAAACAAATGACAAACGCACAACAATTTGTCACCCATTATACAGTAAGGTGCACACGAAATGGGCTTTGAACAGTAAAACAGTAGAAAGGCATCATGGCACACTCACAAACCAGCATATAAAACAACTTGTCTCACCACTGAGGTTAATAACAGAGTGACAAATTGTTGAGTGCGTTTGTCATTTGTTTTGCTTGTATTGTAAAGTAGCCCCCACTCCAAGCTCACTCCCGTAATGGACTACAATCTCAATACAATTAGTAAACTAAACGCGAGATGGTAGTTTATCATGGGAGTGAGCTTGCAGCGGTGGCTACTTTACAACACACACAGGGACCATGAGGAACAAAAGTAGCCAACCTCCAGAAGGAAGGACAGTGTCCGCATGTATTCAGAGATAATTTGAGGACTTAGTGATGCACAAATAAGGTCCAGTTTAGTTAATGGTTAAGGTACCTGAATTCATTTTTTAAGGTTTAACTCCTGAGTTTAGTGTCACTTTAAAATTATTTCTGGTCAAACTCATAAAAATGTATTATTTTTATATCATATGTTCTTGGGGAATTGCCAATGAACAGAGCGCTGGCTAAAGTATGAAAGTAGCTCTGTGGATAGACCTTGATGAAAAGATTCCTGCATGTTTCCTACCTGGTATTGAAGCGCGTTTTGAAGGATTTTTACAAAACTCCAATAAATGGTGTGCTGCTTCTTCTTTTTTTTTATCTGCCTGGAATTTAGTTTTAAAATTCTGCAAAAATGCTAGCAAGTCACTGTTATCTGCCACTTACAGATAAAAGAAAATTTCTGTTTCTCAATGTTTGTAATTAAAATGTTTTATTTTTTTTCACTTTCCTATTCGTTAACAAGACAAACTTGAGTAAACAAAGTTCACTGAGAGTTTGATGGTATTCTTAGCTATGAGGTTTCAATAAAAAGTACACAACTTTCCCCTCTGCAACAGAAATAATTTTTCATCAAGTAATATGGGAACATTTGAGTGAGCTCTGATGATGATTATATGTTGCAATGTTCATATTGCCATGTGACGGGAGACAAATGTTTCACTCTTCAGGTCACTAAATCCAATCCAGATGTGAAGAACATGATGAGGACCTGGACACAACAAGCTGGATATCCTCTGGTGAAGGTGGCGAGGAACGGGAAGGAAGTGTCAGTGAGTCAGGAACGATTCATACGAGCTGTAAATCCAGCCAACGCCACTGGGAACTCCAGGTGTGTGTGTCTTCCCTGGTTGTGTGTAGCTTCTCATCTTCTTTGACATGTTTGGCAAACAATAAATGTAAAGTTGCAGCTTTTTATTTTCTAACTGAATAGATTTGAGGAAAGGGACATGTGTTTTGATAATGAGAAAGTGTACCCTATTGCACTGCAGTAATAAAAAACTGAGGTTGGTAGGCGCTCTTAACTGCAAGTACTGGGAGACACATTTACACCCACTATGTACAGATAAATATTGTGCTGTATATAAGCCAGTGTATTAGGTTAATGAAAGCCGGTATATAATTGGGTAGCCAGATACAGACAAATTTCACTGCTCCGTCCAATACCAAGCCTGCAGCATGCATGTCTACGCTCCAGCACAGTAGCCCAAAGAAAGAAGCCACACACTGAAGCCCACCAACAAGAAGTCGTATTCCACACTCTAATGCATTTCACCCATTAAGGGCTTCATCGTAGAGACTCTGAGTCATAAGTCTCTACGGTTAAGCCCTTAACTGGTTAAGGTGTTAGTGCGGGTGCCCTTTAGACGGGGAGTCTCAGCGGATTGAATATTCTTTGTCTTGTTGATTAAAAACTTGTTGGACTTTTTTTTTCTTTTTGATATGTCCTTAAGTTATTTTGCTTCCTTTTCAAAGCAGCAATATTTTCTCAGCCTAAAATCTATAGGATGTTCTGTGATTAACTATGGTGGGCTGGGCACTTTGGATGTGAAGGATTGTATTTCCCATTTTGAGTATGCCAGATAGAGTAGTGGTAAGGCATCCAGCCTATTGCACTATTATTTCAACATCAAAAAATATTTAGTCAGCTCTAGAATTCACGGTGAACTTGATGGTAAAGGAGTTCTTCCTAGGGGTGCAACTCAACATAGACAACTCATGGGACATCCCTGACCAAATAAAAAAGATGTCTTCTATATACATGTGCTATGCTAGAATATGGCACAGATACGTGGACTTTTAGTCATATGAGAACAATGCATGTTCCCAAACCCCCAGAGACAGGTTGGCATACAATGAGGCACAATACAACCCCATGCGTCGGAAGATTGTTGGAACCTTGGAAAACAAAGACGTTACATGTCAAAATGTGTTTGAGCAGTTGCAAGATGAATGTTTTATAGGGCCAAGCTAACAGACCTAGTTCCCTAATGCAGGACTTGGTGGAAGGCGTGGCACCTAAACTAATTATAGGGAGTTACAGGCATGGCTTGCATGGACACGGCATCCTGTAACTCCTAGCAGCAGGTTACAAAAGCACAAAATGGGGGGACTGGAATGATCAACAGGTATTTATCCAAACACATCTAAATAAAAAGAGAACAGGCTATGATTTCACATGAGTATATGGGCTATTGCAGCCTGCTTTCAGTTTGCTTCTAAACGGCTTATACCCTCCTGGTCTGTTTCTTCATTCCTATGAGGAGAATAGTGGCTCTAGATAAAATAAATGCCAGTGTACATAAGCCCTGAAGCTGACACAGAAAACATGGAGAAAATGTGGTCAGCCAGTGCTATATGTTAAGCAATGTAGTTAGTCAACGGCTGGGTGGCTTTAGGTTGTGTATGGCTGGTTTAAATAGGTTTAATTTTATTCCTGAGATTTATAACATGCATATCCCATATTTAGTGCAACACATAAATAGATTACGTTCTTGCTTATGAGTGTATTTTGTTTTTTATAGTACTCTATGGCATGTACCTCTATCCTATACATATGGCCCTTGTGATGGGACTACTTGTGAATCTGTCTACTTACTCCATGAACCAGAGGGTAAGTAATATATAGGATTACAGTACTCTATCCTATGCACCCCAACAATTATGTTATTTTTCTTTCTTGGAGGCTCTACTTTCTCCATGCTCTTAAAGCTGGCCATATTACTGTTAGAATTTCGTGCATTCATTGTTTTTTTTTTTGTTACTGAAAATGAACTAGGATCACACTAATCCAGCACGTTATTAACCAGTTGACATCCGCGGTGTTAAACCCCCTAGCCGACGGTTACTCCCGGAAGGCGGAGAGGTGAGTGTTTTCATTGGCGATCAAGATATAAAAAGAGTATAACAAGGACACGTGTGCTTTGCCTTAAGAATTTAATGCTAAAAGGTGTCCTTTTTCCAATCTCAGAAATTGTGAAGTTTTTTTTTGTTTTGTTTTCTATATAGAGTGCTGGGAGGATCCTTCAACATTTGGGTCACTTGCTGAGATCTTATAGCTATTTTAGACAGGCTCTCTTGTAGAAAGATTTCGTCTTTCAATCACAGGGGGCAGAAACATTGTGAGCAACTCAGTCACCAGCATTTTGGGTGGACTGAACCTTTCAGATAAAATAGTGGTGTGTCTTTCAAGTAACATAGAATTCCATCTCATGATCTTCGCAGGTAAAATTGCCCTCCAAAGTGAGCCGTCCTGGCTGAAGTTCAATGTGAATATGACTGGCTACTATATAGTGGATTATGGCCAGGAAGGTTGGAAAGCGCTTATTGGACAACTGCAAAAGAATCACACCTTTCTAACTGCCAGTGATCGAGCCAACTTGATCCATGACATATTTGTCCTGTCTAGGTAATTCCTTATTTGTAGTCTTCTTATGTATGCTGTTTTATTTTATTCATCTTACTAATGAAATGCAGACAGTTTTTATAAGAATAAATGTGCGCTTTTCACTTTAACTCTGTGATAAGGAGTGATTTATTACTTGCCTGTTTATCTATTTTTTGCTGTCTGCCAGCAAAATGTTTCATTGCTTATTGGAATGTTGTTTGTATTTCATACTGGACAGGAAATATTCATTGACCTCAAACCTGCTCTGGACATTTCAGTTTATGGCTGATTTATTGACATTGCTAAGCGAACAAATCTCTGCATCTTGTGGTTTTTACTGTGTACACATCTCTACTAGCCCAGATCCTGATATGCTTTGCTTACAATTATAAGATGAATACTTTGCTATATAAATAACCTGCAAATGTATACATCCTGTAATTCCAAAGCCTCACAACTACTTTAAAATAAGCCGAAGTAATTCTCACAGAGCATATGATCGTAAATGCATAGTTAGAGATTACCTTCACTGAAGACTGCATGTCAAAATGATCTAGGGATTCAAGAGATTTTAACTGTATGAAAAACTTCCTTTGCCTTGATAGTTCCCAAGCCTACTTGGTGATTGTTTTATGTGATTAGAGACCTCAATGACCAATATGGGGACTTAAAGTGGACTGGTTTTGGCATTTAAGCATTAACATATTCTTAACAAGTGCTCCCTGACCTCTTTAACTGCTGGTACTGTGGAGAAAATCATCCCAAAATGTCACAGGAAAAACACTTGTGTCTTTAGGGCCGGGTCACACCACAAGGGCTGTGTTCCAGAGCATTCGGTCTCTGGAATGCAAGCCGGCTGGCTCCCTGCGTTCAGGAGCGGGAGGGGGCGTGGCGGTGCATTTAAGTCAATGGCACCGCAGCCATGCCCCCCGCCCGCATTGCGATCGCCCGCATCCAGAAAGCAGGTAGTGCTTGCAGTATTTTTGTAGATCGCACAGGAGCGGAACGCAAGCACTAATGTGCCTGTGTTCCGGGTGCGGGCAATTGACTTCAGTGCACCACCACGCCCTGGAACGCAGGGAGCCGGCCAGTTTAAGTTCCAGAGGCGGGACCCAGCCTTTGTGGTGTGAAGTGGCCCTTAAGACAGCTCACCCTGCTTCACCTCCAAAGAGTGACTGGCGGTCTTCCAATCTTCTAATCTCTCATGTAAACACAGAGCAGGAGCTCTGGTAGTGAGAAGCAGGGGGAGCTGAGCTTTTGAAAGAATGACTTCAATTATTTCAACTTAATATTTCAGTGTTACATTAAAAATTACCCAGTGGAGCTCTCTCTTAAAGAAGAACTCCAGGAAACTTTTTTGTAACGCTTGCAGTGGGGCTGAGTGCTTTTTGTGTCTAGGTTTTAAAAATAACAAAGATATACTCACCCCAAACTCCAAGCCGGCCAACTGTCACAGCGCTCCCTCCAGCCTGTCTCCTCCGCCACTGCAGCATTGGAATCTTCCTCACGTCGTTACTTCTATACACAGTGTATAGACGTGATGATTTATGGGACCTAAGACCACTACAGAGGAGGGGGAGAGACGCTGAAAGGAACGGTCTCAGAAGAAACTGCCTCAGAGCTTTCGGTGAGTAAAACTTCTTTTTTTTTTATCCTAGACAAAAACGAGCAGTTAACCCTTGCAGTGCGGGGGTATCCCCACTGCAAAGGTTAATAAAACCATTTCCTGCAGGTCTTCTTTAAGGTTAACAACCCGTTATATAAAATAGCATTTTTCAACATTCTAGTCTTTTTATGTGCCAAATATTTACACTGTTAGTTTACTCTGTGTATTTTCTTCTTGTTTTCCAGTGTAAATCGGGTCCCACTAACGATGGTGATCGATCACATAGCATATCTTGTGAATGAAAGGGATATTGCTCCAATCAAACAGACAACTGTCCAAGTTTTTCACATCCACGATATTCTAGCTAAACTGGGTGAGATGAATCTGGCGCTCCGATTGAAGGTATGCCTATTTTTCTTCTGTTCTATTCTGCTGTAGACATAAAGCGGTATGAAACAGACTGGTGCATAGCAAGGGAATGGAAAGGAGGTATTGCTATTGAAACCATAACCAGGTAGATGTTACCTTGCTTTTGGAAAAATAACAAATTTGGCTGCAGTGGGTAGCTCCCCCCTTTTTCTATTTGTTCAGCCTTAATAGACTGGTCATAATGGACCTCTCCGTTAACCACTTGCTCTTTATTCTGCCATCACTCGTGTTTCTATTGATCTTCTATTGATAGTTCAAAGCATCAAGTATGACACAGAAAATGTTTATTGATGATGGCTTCAGAATGCACAATGACTTTTATAAACAGATTTTGAAAGCGCTGCTTTACTTACAGTGGACCTATACTCAAGCGGAACTGAACCTAAATGCAAGCAGGCATTCTTTGCTAATGGCTCTTCTGCAAATAAACAAACTTTCCTGCCTGGCAATCTTCTTTAGAATGTACATTGAGTGGAACATACACAGCTCAAGGTACATTGTCTGCACACCTGGGTGCAGAAATGAATAAACTCCTGCATGCATGCAAGAAGCAGCAGAGTACTTCACACTTATGACGTTGCCTAGCCATGCTGTCTTCTGCCCTGACGAGAGCATATCTGTGAAGTTACTTAAATCCCTGCAGCGTACTACGGTATATTGATGGGAAGTATTACAGACAGGTGTACATCTTGGTTGGGTAGGCTGTATGGCACAGAATGACAGAAGAGCTTGCACCCCACCCTAAAGTCTAAGGTAAACTGAGCAGCATTTCCCTTTAGCATAGCATCACTTTTTTCTTTAACTTTAGCAATTCACTGATTGATTTTACACAATGCTTGTGGTTGCTGTACAGTATATCACTCTACAAAATTCCCACTTACCCAACATATTAGTAATTGTTCACTATTGGTACTTTTTAAATCACTTTCAGCCAGCTTTGATTGCAAAAACTACATAAAACTACCCAATGGTTGAACGAATTCTAGTTACATAATATAATATACAGTAAAGGTGGTAGATTAATTCTGGAAGCACATTTATAGCATCTGCACACGTCTAACTTTTTAAAATACTGCCATATACAGAACTTAAAGCTTATTTGGTTGATATATTCACCCACTATATCCACTTTAGGCTCTAGCTAAGAAAGCTTTCGCTAGCCAGAACGTGTTTTGTTACAGAGCCAATGGATAGCTGGTGAGGAGAGTAGAACAGGTTGCATATTATGTCCCTGGACAGTGGAAGAATTTGAAAAAGTGGACTTATTGTAAAACGTTGGGTCTACATTAAATGCATCTTGATACAATCAACTATAGATGTTAGAGTATAGGTTTGATATTAAGCATTGTCATGTCATGGACTATATATTACTGTAATATAATACTGTATATTTCAATTATTTGTATACCACATCAATGTGTGTATAGGGATGCCATAGTCCAAACCAACACCATAGTGACTTCTCCAGCAGTTTTCAGACGTCATCCAGAAATGTAATTAAAAACTTATGGGTAAAAAAAAAATAAAAAAAAATGTTATTTCTTTACTGTAGAATCGTCTTGTGGACCTACTTGCACATCTCATAGGGGAGCAGACATGGAGTGATGAAGGATCTTTGTCTGAGCAAGAGTTGAGATCATTACTTTTGGAATTATCTTGCTCCATTAAACAGAAGAACTGCATAGGAAATGCAACTGAGCTGTTCAACCATTGGATGAATGGAGCACAGTAAGGCTTGAATATTATATACCATTATGAATGCTGGAAAGCCTGAAACATATTGTTATGCAGTAATGTATTTTCTTATCAGCAAACCACTCATAACATGTATGGACCTGGCCTGACAGGTAGAACAGATTACATCACATTTGTCAAATGTGTGTGAGGAAAGAGTTGTCTTAGACTGGCTGAGTTGCTCATAGTAGCCACTTCGATTTTTGCCTTCACTCTCTTGACCTGAATAGAAAAAGTAGCATCTGATTTTTTTGCTGTGGCGAGCACAGACTTTCCAAGACAACTTCTCTTTAGTACTTTATACACCCAGTAAAAGCTTGCAGGTAAGGACATTTTAGTTTTGTGTCTTTCCTAATATGCAAAATTGTTCCAGGTCAGGACTTCATCCTTTGCAAAGTGCTTTGGGACTGGTGGCAACATTGTACAAAATCATAAAACATGTGAACTACATTGTGCACCTCATCACAATTAATTTCTACTGGTAGCTGGGCTTTACGCTACAATTGAAACCAGCATCTGTTACAGCTAAATCTCTGTACTATATAATCTCTAAAATTTTGCAAATAGCCAATACCTATTCATTCACCTGCACGATTCCATACTTTTGTATTTATTTAGAGACTTCAGCCATTCTGGCAAAGGTAACCCTAAATGGGTCAATTCTCGTTTGAGACGTATAAGGCTATAAAATTTGAGGAGGAATCTGCTTAATTATGGCCATCCTAACACAGAAATTGGAAATTACTTGGGATGCACTGATACCGGTACTGAGTATTTGGGCGAGTACTCGTACTCGCCCAAATGTTTTGATACTTGCTTTCGATACCGGAACTTCCGGTCAGAGGAAGAAATCCGTCTAACCGGCAATGCTGAGGGAGCATGGAGCTGGCTTCCTTTACATTCAGGAAGCCAAGGGGTGGTTCATGACATGCCGCCTGGCTTCTTGATTGGCTAGGAAGCCGGCTTCACTTGTTGCTAGGCAGCTTAGCTTCCTGACCAATCAGGAAGCCAGACGGCACCTCATGACTCGCATCCCGGCTTCCTGATTGAACAGGAAGCCACGCTGCCTAGCAACAAGTGAAGCCGGGTTCCTAGCCAATCAGGAAGCCGGTGAGGCGGTTCATGACGTGCTGTCTGGCTTCTTGATTGGTCAGGAAACTAAGCTGCCTAGCAACAAGTGAAGCCGGGTTCCTAGCCAATCAGGAAGCCGGGAGACAGTTCATGATGTGCCGCCTGGCTTCTTGATTGGTCAGGAAGCCAGGCAGCCTTGGCAAGTAAAGCCAGTGTTCTTTCGCTAGAAAACCGGCTTCACAGGCAATCGGGAAGCTAGGCACGGGTCATAATCCGCTGCCTGACTTCCTGATAATCGTGGCACACGGCACCAGTACTTGGTGTCGGCGAGTACCATAAAAAATGTTGCTACTCAATACTAAAAAACAGTATCGATTCATCCCTAGGAATTACAAACATCAAGCTAGTGGAAAATTAGACTGATGATGATGGCTGATCTATTTGGAACTTCTGGCCATACTCTTTGATACTACTTGCCCTATCTTAGACTGGAAGATACTCACCCAGTTCTTTCCAGTTCAGCAGTTTTGGGGGCAATACACCCGCTGTCATTTGCTCCCTTCATTCGGGAGATTTCTTAGCCTTGGTGGACCACAAAGATGCCTGCTATCACTACCTGCGTTTTGCTGCGGGTGCCCAATGTTTTAAATTTGTTACCCTTCCCTTTTGGTCTGTCCACAACACCCAGGATGTTCACCAAGGTGCTGGCCCCTGTCTTTGCAATGCAAATCTGCATTCTGACATTGCAGTAATTGGATAACCTACTCTTCAGGAAGCAGTCAGTGTCAGCCCTGTCTGCCAACATTCAGCGGACAATACAGTTCCTACAGTGCTTCAGATGGGTCCTGAAACTCCAGAAATCAGCGCTGGAGCCTTCCCATCACTAGGAATGCCTAGCGATGGTCTTGAACACAACCCTGCCCAGAGTCTTCCTGCCACAGTAGAAGCTACGGTTTTTCAACTCCTAGGTTCGGACCCAACGATCCAGGAAACATCAATCCACTTCTGAATCCGGCAGACCTACTGTCGCAAGGACAGGTATTTCACCCTGCTGCTCATTTGCTGGCTTTTAGCAGCATGGCCGCTGAAGCCCAAATCATGAGTGACTCAGGCTTTTCAGATGCTCTATGCTCCTTAAGGCTAGGAATTCAACCTCACACAAGGTCTACTATCACACCTGCAAGGCATATTTTGCCTGGTGCAAGGTTGAAATTTCCATCCTTGTGTGGCCTACACCACTGTTTAGCTTGGAATACTATCAAGGGTCAGATTTCAGTCTTGGTGATTCTCTTCCAGAGGCCACTCACTCATTGGTAAAGGCTTTTTGGGTGGCACTTGTTATTCCCCCTGTTTGTGCTCCAGGGACATCATGGGACATCAATCTTGTTCTGTAGGCACTACAGAAACTGCCCTTTACACCTTTTAGAGACATTACTCTGCCTTTGCTTACTCATAAGGTGGTCTTCCTTGCAGCCATCAATTCTGCTAGGCATTTTTTCTGAATTGGTAAATGACCATAAGGAGCCCTTTGTTGTCATCCATAGGGATAAAGTTGTAGTAAGGCCTAAGGTCGTCTCTGCCTTCCACCTTAATCAGGACATTGTGTTACCGTCCTTTTGTCCTGCATCTAAACATCCTAAATACATTTCCTCCTAGTGTTTGGACTTTGGGTGGTCAGAGTTTACCTCTCTGCAGCTGCTGCTATTCGAAAGTCTGATTTTCTATTCTTTTTCCTTGAGGGTCCATGTATGGAACATCAGCCTCCTGATCCACGATTACTAGGTGGATTCCTCAGACCATCTCTCAGGCCTATCAGCTAAAAGTGTAAGTGTTTCCTGGACTTTTCAGCACTAGGCTTCTATCTTCCAAATCTGTAAGGCCACCACCTGGTTCTCCGTTCACACTTTTGGTTTGTTCCACCATTGAAGTTCCGGCATCTGTGGATGCCATTTTTGGCCAGAAGAACCTTCAGACAGCCTTGTAATTTGTGGAGATGCCTTTGTTCTAGTTATCTATTCCTTGAGCCTGTTAGCCATTGTTTGCTGTGTTGCCTGCCCCTATGTTTCATTGCTTTTCAATGTCCCAGAATTACCTTCCTGTGTCTTGTGGTGTACGATCAAAAAAACAGTTTTTTTGTCTTGCTTGTCTAATCAATTTCTTGGAGTACATTATAGGGCACAGGACCATCCCCCTCGGTGTTCTGTGATCCACTCGGTACTGCTTGCTACAAAACTGAGGCAGGCTGGGAGTAGGAGGGGTTATTGAATTGTCATTATCCAGCCACATGAAGGTAGCTTAATAACCCAGTGGTCAAATAATTAACTCCTTGTGATGTACTTTAATAAACAGATTTGACAGGTTAGATAAAAACCCTGTTTTATTTTTAAAATAGGAAAATTGATTATTATACACTGTTATGGCAAACTAAAATGTCATTTAATTTGAGTTACTTTAAGGTGTGTTTATGTTGCACAGTGGCCTACTTCTACTGATTAGCGCCAAATGTTGTTGCCTTTTAATCCCTTTTCACCACAAAATATTTTATTGGATCACAGAGGATTTTCATCAGGAGCCTCAAAGGACCTAGCCTATTAGGAGTATAATACGGTTCAGCTTGAAAACTTTTTATATTTGGCTTTTATGAAACGCATCTAATCAGGATAGCTACTTTAAAAAGTTCATATTTTGTTTTTCTCAGTCTTCCAACAGCTGTCATGACCATAGTATTTAAAATTGGTGCTCAAACAGATGAAGGATGGGATTACCTCCTAAAAATGTACAACCTGTCCTTATATGAGGCGGAAAAGATGAAAATACTGGAAGCTCTTGCAAGTACCGACCATGGCAAAAAGTTACTTTGGTATGTCTGAAGGTTCAGAATTTTGCCCTATTATGTATAGTTTATTTCTTTATTAGTAATGTACTAGGGGAATGGTAGGTACATGTGGTAGGAAAACTGCCACTCCAAGCTCACATCAAGCCCACATTCTCCTCTATTGATGCACAGTTAACAGTCCAGACTGAATGCAAGTCAAAGTTTCAGATACATTGTTGCTCAAAGTGATCCTCCAAAGTAGACTATATTAAGGGTTTTAGTCACCCCGACTACATGTAAAACTTACACAGTTCAGCCCGTTTATGGGTGACTTGAATCTTCAATAACGCTTATTTCGGAGAATCACTGAGAGCTGGTTTATTTGTAATGTAGAATTGGTAGGTAGCCCACAAGATTTTCTGGGACCCTAGGCTCTCTTAAATCCCACAAATACAGTACAAAGGGGTTTGTTATACTTCAGGCCAAAAAGGCATACAAGGAAAATTGCAAATTTGGATCAGAAAGTCCTTTTATATATGCCTCTCCCCATCCATCCACATGGGCATTAATGGTTTGGAGTAAACTATGAGCACTGTACTGGTGTCCATAGATGGAAAAGCAACTAAGCAGATAAGAAGGGGCTGAACAAACCTTAGGAACCAGTTAGCCAATTTACTTAAAAACAGCTGGGTGTGGTGGTCTGTGGATCAGAGTGAAGGTTTAAAGTACTATCTGTGCCATTAATGACTATTCCCGGCACTCCATTGACTCATTCAGGGCCAGGCAGATGTCTCCCTTCCCATTGTTCTCATAACTATCTGTAAGCTAATATACTATTTACTCCTTTGTTCAGCTTAAATCAGTATAATGTGGTAATATACAGTATAGTTATTTAAATTGTTACTAAAGCTTTATATAAATATTTCAAATGTATTTTTTAGCTTTGTTTTCAGGTTGTCAACATACCATATAATTTAAAAGAATAACATAACCCTATACTAGCTATGCTTTAACCCTTTCGCTGCCACCGACGTAAGGCTTACAGTGAAACACAATTGCTTGAAGCTGGCCACGTCAGTCAGCCTTACGTTGGTGGCTTTCACCCTTCTGCTATAAGCTCATGGTCACTTTAGCAACCATAAACTTGTATCAAAACAGTTCCCCCAACGGTCCTTTGTAAAATCACAGAAATTCTGGGCGGCCGCTTGCATCTGTCAGCTTCTCCTCTGGCGCCACTCCAGGCTGGGATCTATTTCTCCTCAGATCCCCGCTGCTCTCCCCTGGCTGTATGGGCTGAGGCAGCGGGGACCTGAGCAGAAATGGCTGGCAGGGGGGCGGAAGAGGGAGCCCCTGATCAAGAAGGCTGAGTGGTGAGGAGAGCCTGCTGTTTCTTTCACTTTGGCCGGCGGCTCTGTGATCTGTGCGTGGCTGAGCGGGTCAGGATGGCCAAGCGGAGGATTGGTAAATATCTGTTCTGCACACAGAGGATCGGTAAATATCACAAACCCTGGAGTGATTGCTGATCACTCCAGTATTTGTAAACAACTGGGGACACATAGTACTATGTATCCCCAGTTATGAATGAACAGGGTGTGCTTTACATCACTTCCTGTTTATTCATGAGTTTCTGAATGGGTAGAAGCACTCCGTACAGAGGCTTCTACCCATTCATAACTGGTTTATAGTAAATATTTAGGATCACCAGTTTGTGAATGAATAGGAAGCCTCTGTACTGAGTGCTTTCCATTCATTCAGTTCTGAGGCTGCAGAAAAAGAGATTGAGGACTCTGTTCTATTTCAAAAAGGAAATGTCTGTTTAGTCCCCTGATATTTTCCCAAAGCCCCTCAACAGTAAAAAAAAAAAAAAAAAAAGAAAGAAAGAAAATAAAAGATAAATAAAACACAAACTCCCCCTTCCCCATATGCGCACACAGATAACATATACACGCACCATATTGTGGTGTATGCCATGCACATGCGCTGTGGTGCGTTGTTCAAACGCATTGCAGTGCTTGATTTTTTTTTTTGCTTTTTAAAATAACCTTAATTTAACTGTGTGGCAGTGCATGGTAAAGCTTTGTGATATGCTGTGTTGCAATTAAATATATGCCTGTATCATTTTATCACAACACAAACACAGCGCAAAAACGATTTTTAACACAAGTTGCTTATTTACAGTTTGTGTTCCTTTATTTTTTTTACCGTTTCGCAAAATGGCCCAGTTTAAAATTTACAAATATTTGCTGTTTTATTAACTCAGTACAGGTTTATCTTTTAGATTTAGTTGGAAATATATTTTTTTTGTTTAATGATACTGATTTTAGTGTGCTTTTATCAATTCAATTGTGTATTTTTATCGGTTTAATGTTAATTTGACAAACATTTGCGCAATTTTCCCAGGGCCTACATAATTAGTAGCGCCATCTTTTTATTCTACCGAGCCTGTGCTTTCAGAAAATATATGGTTTGAGGGGTCTTTAACCAAAGCTAGCAACGCAGCAGTAGAAAATTGCAAAAATGTTGTGGCCAGCTGAGTTTAAAAGCGTTCCGGAGGGCTTGGCAGTGAAAAGTTTAAAGCCCAATTGATGTCTCAGCCCAAATGCTCTGTAGGAGATCAGTTGTCTCTTTGTATCAGACCGGCACATCTCTCCTGTGTCAGACCTACAGCTATCCATTGAGCAACCGTTGCTCATCTCGACGTGGAAGCCCGGATAATTAAAAATAAAAGAGAGAAAAGCAAGACATAGAAAACGTAGAATTTTGCTGTACCCTACTTTTATTTGTAGCATTTGGGTTGATACTTCAAGTGGTCCAGGGGCGTAACTAGAAATCACAGGGCCCCATAGCAAAATTTTGTATGGAGCCCTGTGATCTCTAGTTACAACCCTTGCAGAGCCCACTTGAGATCCCACACAGCCCACCTGAGGGTGACCCTGCAGAGCCCACCATAGACTCTTTGACGTGGGCTCTGCAGGGTCATCCTTAGGTGGGCTGGTCACACTCCTTACCTGTCCGCCTCCTCTTCCACCGTCGGTGATGAGCCCTGCCTCCTCCGTCACCGGGCCCCGCCTGCTCTGATGCCAACCCCCGGGCACCTCCTCCTCTGCTGGGTCCAGCCTCCTCCACCGCCGCTGCTGGCTCTCACTGACTCCGCAGCGGCTATGGAGAGGAACGCACCGCTGCACAGATCACTGTCAGTGATCTGAACAGTGGCATGTTTCTCTTCACAGCTGCCACTGACAGCCAGCAGCATTAGATGCCATATCGACCTAGGCGGCCCGCAGGGCATCAGGGATGTCCTGGCCGGGCCCCATAGCGCCCGCCTGGGTCGCTATAGGGATTGTTACGCCACTGAAGTGGTCGTAGTCTCAGTCCATGGGTTTGATTTTTTTTTTTTATCATTATTTTGCGCTGACATTCTGTTTTTAATTGAACTTTAAAGATTTCTAAAAGTCTCTAAGCCTGCATCAAATGTTTTATATATTAATATGGAACAGTGTTTTAAAATTGTTGGGCAGCAGTGTAAATTTTAATGTGGACATGTTTGCCACATTTTGATGAACTACATTTGATTCTTAGTTTATTCCTCAGTTATACCTAACCTTTTGTGTGTAACGCAAACTTGCTGAAAATTCAGCAACTGCTTTAAATATGTTTTGAATATTTTTATTTCACAAAATAGAGAATTGTGACTTATCAATAACAGAAATGTGTGATTTCCTTTAAATGTAATCTGACCACTCCTTTTTTATTTAAAACTGATTTCATGTAGAGCGTTAATCTTTCTGCTCTGCCAGTGAAAGTATCAGCAAACTGACATTTCCAGTAGTGTAAATATTTCCCCTGGTAAAACAAATGAAGTCCAGATGTGCTGCAAATTGTGGGAAATTATTGATGTCATGTTTCATCAAGTCGTCTTTATCTACCAGGAAATGTCATTAAACGCAGCAGTTCTTCATATACAGCATTGTTTTATCATATAGAAACAATGTGTGTGTTCCCTGCGATGATTAGTATTGGTCATGCTATAAAATATGGTAGAATCCATGAAGCTTAGTATTCCTGGAAAAAGCACGCAAAGACTCCATGGATTTTAGCCTTGTGGCTGACGTTTTGTTTATATGGTGGGGAATGCTGGTAGCTAGAACCCCCAATAACTGGAGAATCATTGGTTGCCTGTCAGTTTTTAGAATGTTGCATCACTATTGTTGACCCAGAGAGAGAAATTTACAATGCTTAGTATATTCATCAGATTCTTTTTCTAGCATGTCTTGAATGATCACTGGCATGTTTCATCTTTAAAACTGTTGCATGACAGCATTGTCTCATGTAGTGTTATGTTTTGTATACCAGGTTGATGGACAATGGTCTTCATGGACATGTTATAAGATCACAGGATTTTCCAATTGTCATTCACTTCATTAGTAGGAATATCCCTGGATTTCTGCTGGCTTGGAACTTCGTCAAGCAAAACTGGGATGAAATAACTCAGAAGTAAGTACAGCTGAAGGATTTACCACAATCCACACTGTGTAAAGTAAGCTTCAGTAGCTGGTTACTTTTGGGAGCATTTTCATTTAATTGCTATGGGTATTCCCATCTTCACTGATAAATCTGCTTTGTCTATCTGGTCATTTCTATCTGATCAGAGCTCTGTGTCGATCTGATATGAGCTATTATCTTTCTATTCATCTGATCTGTCTTTTCTATCTGTCTGATCTCTATGCGTTTCACAGGTAACAGTAGTTTGTATTTGACCACTAGATGAATCGGGACCCAAAAATTGGTCAGTTAGTCTGCCACTATACACTGGATAACCTATCACTCTCAATCTGCTCTCTGCAGTGTAAGGGATTCTGAGAAGATAATATAATGGTGGACATCATACAGTGATGCACTTAGTTTCTAAAAGTACATTTTATAATTTTAATAAACATTTATCTTGATTTTTTGTTTTTTTTTAGGGGGGTGTTATTTTCTCTGGAAGTAAGTTGTTAATTACCTTCTGCCATACAATCAGACAGCTGAACTAAAAAATAAATACATTTAAAAAATGGTACTTCCTGCTATGGAAAGCACATGGCTCTTTTCCCTTGCTCCCACATTGTGTTGCAATGGGTAGCTGAGCAGCCAATCACCTGGCCCAAGCACTATCACATGGTGGCAGGGTGAGAGTTGTTAGCCCTTTGTAAGTTCCAACCTGAGTTACCTGGAGCTTGGACAGAGCTTTTTGTCTTCACTTTCTGCAAGTGAGCGGAATGATTAGTGAAGGGAAGGAGAGTATTGAGCATAAAAGCTTGCCCCCTACTTTTTCCATCTCAGGTGGGGAGACATCTGATGGAATTTGCGGAGATGTGGGAAGCTCAGATTTCAGATGCTTGGGTCTTTAGGGTCTCCGTACTTGTGGTTCGTCCTGCGATTGTCCGGAGTTCCCATGGTACGGAGTTATTTGGTCAGGCCAGTATTACCTGCGGATTCCTGCACTGACAAGGGGAATAGTCATTGAGTCCTATATTAATCATGAATTATATGATGGCTTTGTTCCTTCTCTCTTTCTCCTTTTTTTTTTTTTTTTAAGTGGCTGTGTAATTTTTACATTGTACTGTCTTAATGGTTGTACTGCCCATTATGGAGTTTATGTGCATTTCATTAAAAAGTTCCTGCCATCTGTATAAGAGACCAGGACTTCGGCTTGATGACATCTGGGAAATCATGTGTGCATGTGCACGCACTCATAGCATCCATTTTAAAATCTCGGTCGGGGCATTGTATCTGTTGGTTTTTTCAGAAGATTCTATGTCTGATGGTGAATTAGTTTCTTCTGATGAGGACAAGTCTTTTCATTCTGATTTTGTTGTCTGCAATTTCTCAGCACCAAAAATAAATAATTGCCTCTTTAATTAAGGCTGTTTATTCCTCTTTTAAAATTTGAGAATTCCACTGTCGCTTGTTTTTCCATCTAAGGCGGATGGATGTCTGGTGGAATTTTGTGGACATGTGGGAATCTCAGATTTCAGTTGCTAGGGTCAGAGAGGTGGTTTCCACCAGTTACAAGAAAGTTTCATCTTCTTCCTCCTCCTCGGTTCTTTGCGTCTCTGGAATGTTGGATGGACCTTTTTTGCACAAGTATTATTCCCTTTCCTTTAACAGAAGATGGTTTTTACTTAAACCTATTTACGGTTCCCAAAAATAACGGAGGCCTTTTGTCTGATTCTGAATTTGAAAGCTCTCAATGCATTTGTACGTATTCACAAATTCCGGTTGAAGTCCATTCGATCAGTTTTTGCTTCTCTCCATCAAGGAGATTTTTTGGTTTCCATAAATAGAAAATAATGCATATCTACACATTCTTGTTTTTCCAGCTAATCAGCATTTTCTTTAATTTGCTGTAGGCAACCTTCATTCTCAATTTGTGGTTCTTCCCTTTTGGCCTAGCTTCATCAAGGGTTTTTACAAAAGTTCTTGCTCTGATCTTGGGGCACCTTAGTTGCAGTGGCATTAAGATTATTGGATATTTAATGAACTTTTACTTAGATTAGTCTCTTCTGACTCTCAATGTCTCAACAGTGCTGCAGACCATAGAGAACATAAGATGGATTCTGAACATAGAGAAATAATCAAAGGTTCCATCTCATTGCTTGCAGTACTTGGGTCTTCTGTTGGATAGCTTCCAAGCAAAGGTGTTTCTTCCTCAGAACAAAGTTTTTAGGTTGTGGGATCAAGTTCGGTCAATTCAGTCCCATCGATGATCCTTTTTACGAACCTGAGACTTTTGGTCTGATGGTTTCCACCTCTGGAGTGATTCCTTTTTGCTCAGTTCCATTCCAGGCATTTACAGAGGAACATTCTTATGGTGTGGGACAATCCCCTGCATTGACAACAGGGAAGTTGTTTATTCCAATAACTTGGCAGATTGTCATGACGGACGCCAGTCTTGTGAGATGGGGCGGTGTCTTGAATCATCTGTCTGTGAAGGATTGTTCAACTCTGGAGGACTCCAAGCTTCCGATCAATGTCCTGGAGTTGAGGGCAATTCGCTTGGTGTTTCACTGAACCCATGTTCTGACTGGTTGCCTTTTTTGGATTCAGTCAGACAATGCCACAGCAGTGGCCTACATCACTAAGGAGGCACCAGGAGTGTGTAGACAGCGAAAGAGGTTAGTTCGATCTTGGGTTGGGTGGCAGTTCATGTTACAGCGATCTCAGCGGTCCACATTTCAGATGTTGAAAACTGGCAGGTGGACTTTCTCAGCAGACATCTGGATCCAGGAAAGTGGTCTTATCCAGAGGTGTTTCAAAAACTTTGTTAGCACTAGGGAATGCCGGATTTGAATCTTCTGGTTTCCCGCCACAACAAAAAGGACAGATTTGTGTCCAGACTGAGGGATCCAATGGTGGATGCCAGGGTAGATACATGGGATCGGTACATCCTGCAGTATATGCCTTTCCTCCTCTGATACTGTTACCCCAACTGCTTTGCAGGATCGAACACAAGGGAATTCCAGTCATTCTCATTGCACCAGATTGACCTACGTGTGATATGATGATCTGGTTCATCTGTTGGCAGACCATCTGTGGTCTCTTCCACACCGCCCAGATCTGTTGTCTCGGGGACCAATCAGCCACCCTGCTTCTCGGTTGCTGGCTTTAACGGCTTGGCTTTTGAAACCCAGGTGTTAAAAGAAAGAGGTGATTCGGATTCTGTATTAAGTACGCTGAAGGCTCATAGATCTTCTACTTGTTAAATGTATCACTGTACATAGAAGGCTTATTTTCAGTAGTGTGAATCCTTGGGCTTTTCCCCCACCAGCTTTTTCTATTTTGTGAATTTTGTCTTTCCTTCAATTGGGGTTAGATCAGCATTCAGTACCATTAAGGGTCAGATATCTGCCTTGTCTGTCCTTTTTCAATGTCCTTTGGCTTCCAATTCCTTAATTCATACTTTTTATTAAGGGAGTTACATGTGGTGTTCCTCTTCTTAGGTCTCCTCTTCCTCCATGGGGCTTGAACCTGGTTTTATCTGTTCTACAAAAATGTCTTTTTTTATCCAAAAAGGTTGCCTTTCTTGTGGCTATTACCTCCGCTAGAAGGGTTTCCGAGTTGTCTGTAGAGAACCCTATTTGGTTCTTCAGAAGAATAAGGTTGTTCTACGACCGAACATTTCCTTTTTACCCAAGGTAGTCTCGATTTTTCATTTAAATGAAAATGGATTTGTCGGGTTGTCGGTAAGGTTCCTTCCTTTCCTGTTTCTGCTCATTCTACTAGAGCAGTTAGTACTTCTTGGGTGTTTCAAAATTAAGCTTCTGTTACTCAAATTTGCAAGGCTGCAACTTGTGTTCACATTTTTGCAAAGTTTTATAAAGTTGATGTTTCTGCCTTTCTCATGCTAGTTTTGGCAGAAAAGGTCTTCAGGCAGCTGTTTAAAATATATTTTTACAATTCCTTTGTTGTTGTTGAACTGGTTCTTCTAATTGGTATGGTGCCCACCCCTCTGATTTAGACTGCTTTTCAACATCCCAGAGCTGTGTCTCTTAATGGACGATAGAGAAAATAGGATTCTGTACTTGCCTTTCCCTTGAGTCTATTGAGAAACACAGCTCCCTCCCCTCATTTTCTTAAATACTGCTTGCTACAACTGGCAGGTGTGAGGTGGGAGTGGTTATGTCCTTTAAAGTGGCAGGCTTTTAATTTTGTTTACCTAGTGCCCATTTCTCCTAGATGTAGCAGCATTACCCTACATGTCAGAATTCTTTAGCGCTATGTACCTCAATGGAGAAAATGAATTTACAGTAAGAACAAGCTCCTATTTTTCTGTTCTCTCATGCTTTTGTTACTTATTGGCTAATACATCATGGTCTTTATTAAAAACAAAGCCATCATATGTTTTTCTTTTAGATTTCCACCAGGATCATTCCCCATACAGACCATTGTCACCATGACCACTTCACAGTTTGCCACAGAAGTATATTTAAATGAGGTAAGTAACTTTTTGTCATTGTTAGACATCCATATTATACAAAAACCTTCTTGATGTAGTATTAAGCTCTCAAACTTTTTTCAATAATGAATCCAGATCAAACAAATATACATTGCCAAGCAAAGGATTTCTTTACAGTTTTATCTAAGCACTTACAGTTGTCATGTTTCTAAACAGTTGGCTCCAACTCTTAGATCCACTTCCCTGAACTTCCTGTCCAGTACAAAATCACAAGGGACAGCTCAGTCTTCAGCAACTGTCCATTTACTAGCTGGCTTGGTACTTCTTGGTCCTTCACCAGTCCCTTCCACCTGTCTTCTCCTCTGCCGTAGCGATGGTATGTCTCTCAGCATCCTCACATCCTATACACAGTGTGTAGAACGTGATGACTTACTGGACCTTAGACTGCTGCAGTGGAGGGGGAGTGAGGTGGAAGGGACCAGTCTAAAAGCAAGCTGGCTCAGAGATTCCAGGTAAGTATAACTTTGCTAGGGTTAAGCTGCAAGGGTTAAGAAGAGAATTCCCTGGAGTTATGCTTTAAGTTGGGATGTAAGTAGATTGGTAAAATGGTGACACATCATAATCTGATTGTGCAATCGCCTTTAGATTTCCCAGCAGTTTGTTGTGTGTGTGAGAGGCTATCTGTTCGATATCTATTGGCTATACCACACTACAATTTTTGTTAACAAATAAAAGGCATTGCACAATCAGACTGTAATGTGCATCATGAACCTAACGCACGTTAAAATGTCATGCTTCAACCAATTATGATTGGGAACAAAACATAGCTAACTGATTTCTCCATCCACACTAAACAACATGGATGGACAAATCTCCTGCTGTGCTTTTGTATTCTGACAGCGGCGAGTGTGGTGCAGTCACTGTTTGGCCAACAATTTGCTGCCCAACTTTGATTTTCTCATTGAAAAATGTCAAACAGGGCCACCCACTCAGAACATTTTGGCCAATTCATCAAGAACCAAAAGAAATTTGGTCATTGTATGGCCAGTATAACATATATGGCCTAACATGAATGTCAGAGTTGAGTTGTTTTAAATTCCTAAATTTTATAGTAACTTTGGATTTGGACATTGGTTTTGAAGCTTTTATATTGGCAGTTGTGGTAAAATCTAGAAGAATATTCTATAAACACAGGTAGCACACTGATTGTACAATCTACTAAGTAAAAATAAGATTTGTAAAATTTGGGTGAGATTTAATGAAACCTTAATTACATAAGTTGGAGCTTGGGCTGATTGTAAAGCTGACCAAATACAATACAATCTGATTGTAAAATCTCTTAGATTTCCTAAAAACTGTATAGTGTAATGGTCTATTGGACTTCATGCAATACAGAGGTTTAAGACACACTGAAGAAATTTATAAGGAGTGTCTTAGGTACTTATTGGAAATCTGTCTCGCAGGAGTGTGAAAAATGGTTCCCCTTGCAACAGATTAATTTATGTGCCGGTAAGGTGTATATGTATCTGTTGCAAAATTATCTCGTAGATGAGACACAATATTTGCACATGAAGTTTTCTACAACATAGAAGAGGTCCTTTTTTTTTTTCCTCCCCTTTCCTTATTGATCATTGCGTTTCTTTATGAATTTGTCACAGCCATAGCTGCACAATGTAAAAGTGTCGCAATTAACTATCTGAATTTGGTGCACATGTCAGAACTAGAAATAGAACCATTCGCAAGGCTTTCATGAATTAGGTGCATCCCAGGCACTGCCTGTAATAGAGAGACATTAGGTACTATATGTAACAGAGTGAGATCAGGGAATTCATCTGTGTCCTAAATAATAAAGAGTGAACTTTTGTATATGCTGGATTCTAGATCTCACTGGTGCCATGGATACTGGGGAGAGAGGTATGTGTTCTGCAGTGAAGATCTCACTGGTGCCATAGGTAATGGTGAATTAGAGTTTGTATGATGGTTTGCAGAACTTGCTGGTGCCATGAGCTGTGTATCCTAGAGTGGAGATAACACTATTTCCATGGATATTAGAGATCTAAGAATGTGTATGCTGGAGTAAGGATCTCACTGGTGCAATCAATACTGTGGAGTGAGCTGTGTATGCTGGAATGGTGATCTCATTGTTGCACTGAATACCTAGGGAATGATGTGTGTGTGTGTGTGTGTGTGTGTGGTGGAGTGCAGGGCTTATTTGTGTCATGGATACTGGGTGGTGAGGTGTGTGTTTGGTAGAATGTAGATCTCACCAGCGTCCAGGATAAAGGGGAATGAAGAGCAAGGAGTCGCCTAGTCAGTATATGTATAGTAATTTTGTAATATCGCAATTTTTAAGAATATATATTTTTATGAGACATTCTATAATACAATTTATAATGGCCAGAGGACGTGAGGAACACTGCAAGGGATATCTTCTTTATTTCACAATTTAATTTTGTACATGCATTTTGTATTTTCAGGTTGTCTCATTCTTCAACTCTACAAAGACTACTAGCAGAGACATGTGGTGTGTGAAGGAGGCCATCGAAAGCATCAAGCTGAACATTCAGTGGGTTAACAGCAACCTCGACAGCCTCAAGAAGTGGTTGTAGAGATCAGCCGGCAAAACTAGTTTCACCTTAATGCTCATGTGAACTATTGCTTAAGCACAGAAAGACACAGGCATTCTGCAATGCTGTATGGACTACAGGAAGCTTCTTGATAGCTCAGGGCAAAACGCAAACAAACTCCTGTAGACTGAGTGACTGTTTGAGGAGAGACTGTATTTATTATGAAGCTGTGATTGTCACACTGTCACTATGCAGGGCAGGACCGTGCCTTGCTGGGCTACAGTAGCAAAGCAATTTCTGAAACCACTGTGTTTTTTTCAATTGCCTGTTAAGTCATCTTGAAGATTATATGCAGTATGTGGCCACAGCACAAATTATTTGGGAGTGTGGATTTATTTGCCATGTAAATAGTTAACATAGCCATAGTCACTATGTAAAAGTGGAATTTTTTGGCCGATACAGCAGTACTTTTGTTACCATTGGTCACATTTTAACACTGGAGAGATGTTTTTGGTTTTTTTTTTTCCTTCTTTGAAAAAAATGTTAATGTGTTAAAAGCGCCTAGCTGCCTTTTTCACCGCTCAGGTTTTGCATTTAGCTGTGATGCTTATGAATATTGTACATTGTAAGACTGTATATAATTCATGATCAGTTTTCTGACCTTTTACATGACATGATCTGCATATCAAGCTGCACGTTTGCAGACCAGATTTCAGTGTGTGTTTTGCTACAGGTAAGACACACATATTGCACTTCCCTAACCTGGCTGCTGACATGTACACATAAGGCAAGTCCCATCTGCATATAAGAAACACTTAAAATGGCTAACTTAACTATTAGGTCTTAAAATTTTGTTTGTGGCAGCTGTTTGTTAGTCATGGCTAATTTAGACTTCATACTGCGACATGATTTTTCATTTCCATGTGGATGGCTTCTGATGATAGAGATGAGTAATCGGTCTACTTTTCTGAGAAGTCTACATGCTGCACATGCATAGTAAACCAACAGTGAATGAAGAACCTTTGAAAGGCCCATATAAGCAAAGTAAAGTTGACCAGGATTTTTAAGCCGTTCACTGTACAGTAAAACATCCTACCAAGAAATTGTCCTGTGCAAATATATGCACAATCCAATAGTCTTTAGTTTTTTCCTTTACAAGTCTATTTTAAATATAAATGTTCTGATTTTATAATATCACATTATGGCCACTAGATGACAATGAAGGACTATAGAAAATAAGTTTTTGTTTTCTATGTCCCTCGGCTCCATCCGGTGGCCATACTTTGATATTACAATCACTTCAACTTTCAAATCTAATTATCCTTGTAAAGGGGGAAAAAAAACTAAAGCTCATTCATATATGCACACAGGACAAAGTTTACAGATATTTGCAGGGTAAACCCACCCCATAATGTATCAGGGAACATTGCAAGTATCCCTGGTATGAAAACAAATGTGGATACAGTTTTTTGTTCTAGTGAATAGGCCTAAGCCGATCTGTTGCTCTAACTATGTGAACAACAAAAAGAATATTTTCTATACTGAAAACTAAGTCCATTCATCGCTGACACCTGTTACTCAGTATTAACACAGGTAGGTTAGTGATGATTGGCTAAAATGTGTCACACAGTTAGCCTGTGTACACACATCATTCAGCTCATATAAGGGCATTGTATACAGCTAGCTTTTTTCAAGGTATTTGCAAATCTTTTTGCAGGTTTTGAGCACATTTCTTAGTCTTTCGATGTCTATGCCAGTGTTCTTCAAAAGCTTGCAGGCCACACTGTTCTTATACAAGCTGATGCCCATGTGTACAAGACTTGTCATGTTTTTTTCAGCATTAACTCTACAAATGTCTGATAGCCGATTGTCCCCTTCAGATGAAGTGCAGTTATTTATAATACCTGCTAAAAGATAAATTCCAGCCAAAAGGGATATTTCATGTGTGGTTGCATGCTAGAAGGTTGAGTCCTCTGGTATTTTTCTGGAGTTGGTTTCCTCTGCAGAGTTCCTCAGCTTTGAACCATCATAAAAGTGGAGAGGGGCTCAGTGCTTAAAGAAGGTTAGGGGGAGTACAATGTGCTCGGCCCAATTCACACCTATGCGTTGCGGTGAACGCACATCCCGTTCTCGCACGTTTACTGCGCTGATTTCAATGACCATGTACATGCGGCAAAAAAGCTCCTGTAGTATTTTGCGCAACACGCATTCGGTGTTTTTTGCTTCCGCGTTTGTGCGCATTTTAAAGGAGGAGGAACGTGTGTACTTGCGGCCATGTTTGTGTGCCGCAAATGCTTCTCACGTTTTGTGCGCATTTCGCAAACGCCCATTCCCGCAACGCTTGGGTCTGAACCGAGCCTTAGAGATTGAGAACTGAGCAATCACGAACACTGATCACTCAGTTCAGTCTTCATGCAGAGAGCAGTGATTGTCAGTCACTGTTTCCCATAGGGGTCAGACACAGCAGGCTCTGGCTCTAGAGAGGCAGAGCCAGCTGTCAATCAGGCAGCAGGGTGGATCCCGACTGCAGCTAGGCTTTGCACTGTCATCATATAGTGGGCAGTAGTCCGCAATATGCTCAGTTTGAGTCACAGGTGTACTGTAGTAAAAGAAAAAAGTAAAGGTGCCCATACACCTTACAACCATCGCAAGACTTTTGTCTTGCGATGGTTGTAAGCTAATTAAAAGCTCGTACGATCTGCCCATCTTGGACAGGCAGATCGTACTTGTGATCATCGAAAAGCCCGCCCCTGAGGGGCGGGCTTCCGATGACTGCAATTCTGAACGGGCAGTGTGCGCTTGCGCACACGGCCCCATTCGGCATTTGTCTCCCGAGCATGCCACAAAACCGCCGTCAATCGTACGATTCTCGGTGGGTTTTCAAACATGCTCGTTAGACAAAAGATGTGCGACCGTACAGTAGAAACGGTTGCACGCCTTCCATACACCTTGCGATTATCGTAGGATCGCGGGATTTCCCGCAATTATCGTACGATAATCGCAAGGTCTATGGGCACCTTAAAGCCAAAAAAAGGTTTTGGTTTTCTTTTAAGTCTCAGAGAGAGTCATTTAACAAATCCACATTTCCCACACTTTGACTATGCTTTGACTGGACTGACCCTAGAAAGGGAAATTTTTGTCTGTACCAACAGAAAATATTAATGCTCTTTTCTTCCAGATTGTTAGGACTTCTGAACCTTATTTTACATAATTTTGAAGATTTGAAAGTCATGTGTTTAATAATTTTTTGATTTTTCTGTATTTTAGAATCTTTGTAGAATCTGTTCATTCACAGAAAAAAAAAAGACAAAGCTTTCTGTTGAAAAGAATATTGCTACTTTTTTATGCATTTGAATTACAATGCTTGCACAGAAGTATGTATAGATAATCTAAACGAATTTTTATGACCCAGTTAAGGAATGGTGCTTTTTTTGTCCACCATGAAGGAAGCAGGTGTGTTCAGCCCATCTGGGTACCGCACAAACGTCTGCATCTTGGCAAGTAATTTTCTAATACAGCTTTCATGTTTTGTTTAAAGAAAAGAATGATATAATGCTAATAAATGTTTAAAAAGCCAGTTGTCTCATTGCAAGTTGTGATTGCAGCATCTCGTATAAATGGATTTAGTATCTCTTCCATGTGTCTATTAGGGTTGTTCAGCTACATTTTAGCTTTTTGAACTAGAGTGATGGTATACTGTATGTTGTTGTGTCAAATTTAGGGCTTGTTCATACCAACTGCTGTAAGCAGTGATTAATGCAGGCTGAACGCAAGGACATAGGAAATACAATAGCTGTGTGTCCAGTTTACACCAAACTATTGCGTTGCTGTGCGTTAAAGAAAAATGTAGGTATGCTGTATATTTACACAGAAATGTGCATCAGCATAACACATTTTAACACATGAAAAATAAAAAATATTCATATTTTTTTTACCCTTTGATAAGTAGAAACACCTTTTAAAAACCACAGTTCAATGCGCAGTAAAACTCAGCACAATGCTGCAACACATGTCCGTGCTCTTTAACACGCATCAACCTGCATGCTATTTCTGAGCATTTTTTATGTGTGGTACGGTGTGAACAAGCCCTTATAGTTAATGGGGGAAAAAATGCATTCGGGCTGAATTCTTTGCGGGCTGAATTCGGTTTTCATGACACCCCAATAAACATCTCCCAACAGACCTACAATTTACGCAAACTAGCTTTGTGTTGGGGTGCACTAGAAAAATGTATTGTATGCATTAAAAAAAGTCTATTGAAGTGCATTGGCAGCTCATTCAATATAAATAGGCTGCCTTACTGCAGGGCACGTTAACAGTTCTGCTGTAATGCATCGCAGATGTGTACATCGAGCCTTAAAAATGTAGTCGGCGAACGACTGCTAGAAGCTTTGCCGCTGTGTTCATCAGAAGGTTTACTCAGCTGCCTTTTATCGGAGTTTGATATAATTATTATTATACAGGATTTATATATAATCTGTCATACCCTCTTGTTCCATCATTCCAGGATGAGCAATATCCTTCTTGAAGACATGCAGATGTTTCAGAACCAATGAGCTCTCGGCCTGCATTGTTACAAAGTCAGATACCTGGCAGTTCAGCACACAAGGACACAAATGTAGTCCATTTCATGGTATAGAGCCACTCACTGTTCCTTGATCAAGTGTCCATGCAACATTTCATTTTTAACTTGAAAATACCCTTATTTATGGCCACTCTGACCACACTAGGACTAAATACACAAATTTTATGGAGCCAGGTAGCTTACACTGGCTTCAGTGTGTTCTTTGGCTTCAATGTCGTCTATCTCACTAAGTATACAGATCAGAAGTTCTGAACTCACGTGGTGCATACTTGTTCTGTGTCAGTGACTTACAATACTAAAACCGGAGACAGCCATGGTAACCAGCATGTTTATGAAGAAGGTCTGCAATTGAAACCTACTTATTTCTCCCAGTGCACATTTCCTTTAATGATGAGACTGTATTCTGGAAATAATGGACTGGAGTGCACTTTTCCTTTAGTGCTGTGGTTCAGCAGGGAATAATGTATGATATGTTTTCTTGGGTCTGTGAGAACATATAAGCAATTAAGCTATTCCCCATACTCCTCATTTTTTCAACAGTCAGATTCTCTAGGTATAAATAAACATTGTATAAAGCATCAA